GCCAGGGAGCGCGGGGGAGGACCACCTGATCGTGCTGCTGGCGGCCTCGTGGTCCCACAGCTCCCCCACACATGCGCACCACGCCCACCCCCGCCCCGCCCCTGCCCCCCCCCTCCTCATTCTTCACATGTCAGACCTGCGAGACGCTGGCCGACACCTACCTGCTGTTCGGGCGCTCCCTGCACAACAGCCCCCTGGCGGCACTGGCCTACGAGCCCAGCGCTGCCGCCGTGGCACGCTTCTGGCGCGGGTGCGAGGATCTGATCCGCTGCCTGGAGGCGACGGGGCCCGAGCCGACAGGCGACGCCCTGCCGCCCCCCGCCGGGACGGTGAGCCCTGGGCGCGTGCGCCGCCTGCTCCTCCGCGCCTCGCAGCTGGTGGTGTTTGGCTCCGTGGCTGCCGCCCCCCTGCTGGCGGCGGGCGTGCTTTCCCACTGGGGCTGCGCGCCGCCGGGGCTGGGCCTGGACGACCTGGCCCGGGAGCTGACGCGCCTGCTGCGCGCCGGGGACTCGGGGGCGCTGCCCGCCGCGTTCCTGGCGGCCATGCAGGCGGCCTGGGAGCGTGCGGGGGAGGCGGAGCCGCCCGCGCCGGGGGACCTGGAGGAGGGGGAGGAGCCGCGCGACGCCTGCCTCCGCGACTTCAACGCGCTGGCGCACCGCTTCGCGCAAAAGTACTCGGGCTTCAGCGCCAGCGCCGCCGCCACCGCGCACGTCGTCAAAGGGGGTGTGACCTGGGCGCTGCAGGGCGCCCCACACCGCATCGACTTCCTCATGGTGTGTTGATCGGGGGGTGAGCGGTCACAACGCCTGGTGGGGGCGTTCTTTCAGCCCGTGGCACTGCAGGGGATGAGGGGAAGGCATGGTCGGAGTGCTGGGAGAAGGCTTTACGAGGGGATGCTGCGGTGGCTGGCAGCATAGGCCCTCCGATCATGCGACCTCGACTCGCGCCAGGAGCGGTTGGCTAACAGCGCTGCCGCCATTTTCCCTCTCGGCACACTGCACACAGGGCGTCGCACACTTTGTGACCAAGCTGCCACCCGACACGGCCTCCCAAGTCCTTGCATTCGTCCAGGCGACCGCAGAGAGGGGTGAGGCTGTGATTGTGGTGACAGATGGGGTTTCAGGGTTTGATTTGTTGCTGCACAGAGTTTCACTTCTCGGGCAGGGACTCCTCCCAGGGACCGATCAGGTGGACGGGAGAAGGGTACTTTTGCAAGCACGGCACACCGAGCTGACAGGGAATTGACTCAAACCCTAGTCCCTATCACGACACCCAAGTCCTCTCATAACAACTCCTGCCCCGCCTGCATGCAGAGTGGCCCCGCCCACAGACGGGCAGCCCAGAGGCCGAACTCTACCTGGACTTCCTGCAGCTGCTGGAGGAAAGGGTGCACAAGGTCAGTAGACGGTTTCATGGTCTCTGACTTGAAACATTGCTCCATTCAGAGGAATCCGACATAGATCCGGGTGGCACACAGGAAGCAGTGTCCCTTCCCCCTGTGCCTATCACCTTCCCCCTCTCCATCCCACCAGGGCGGGATCAAACCTGCGCTGAAAAAGGGGAAGGAGGCCCTGCAGGTTGGCACGTCGGCCAAAGGGGTGCGGTCTGAGCGACGCATCACGTTTGGCAAAGGAGCAGATGAGGATGATGGGGTGAGCGGAGAGCTGGTCGAGGGGGCTCGGTGTGGACTGGCAGGAAGGTGTTGCGGGCGTGGGAGCACGGCAGGGCACACTGGAGCGGGCAGGAGGTGATGGGGCACCGTTGAACGCATTGACCGGGACAAAATGCGAGCCTGTGGCAGGCCTGCCCCTCAACCACGCCTTCTCTGCACCTCCATCGCAGGACCTCATCCCGAGCGGGACGATGAGGCAGCTCACCCTGGACAGCCAGGGCGGCAGTGAGGAGCCCAGGCTGGAGGCCAGCAGCGACGAGGATATGGTGGGTGATGGGGTTGGGAGCTCGGTCATGGCTGCTGGCTCGTCCCTGATCTCTACCCATTGCTGCGGTGGGGGCTGCGAGGATCACCCACAACTCATCCTCTGGTGACTCTCGCCCTCCTCACCCGGTCCCATCTTTCCCAGCTGGGGGCCAGCGCGATCGATGAGGAGGCAGAGGAGGATGCGGCAGGCGTCGAGCAGGAGGAGGAGGAGGAGGAGCCGCCCCGGGCCCGCCGAACCCGGCAGTACCGCTGAGCCTGCGCATGGAGGCACATGCCCCTCCCGAGCGCCTTGCAGCGGATGCATGACAGACTCCACGCCGACCCCTGACCGACGAACGAGAAGAGGCTCTGGCATAGTCCAGGCTTGCGTGACCGCCGTCTTCCACCTTGCGCTGCACAGCGTGCTGCGACCCCGACCTCCCCAAACATGTATGAGCCACGCCCCTGTGCCGAGCCAGCAGAGCACAGCAGCACCTGTAATCACCACCTCCCCCCGTTTCCCATGTGATGAGAGAAAGCATAAGCACTGAGTGGTGGCCGCAGGTGTCCTTCAGGCTGGATCGGGGGGCTGGTACATCCCAAGGAACTCAGGGTGTACAACAAGCATGTCGCATGGGGTCTCAGAGATTAGTATGCAACAAGGTACAACAACGGCCCTCAGGACTCGTCCAGGGCCAGGAAGATGTCGCTGACAACGTCATTGGAAAGCAGGAAACCCTCGGGATCGGTGAGGCCGAAGTGCGTGGCAGCTCCCTCGCCGTCTCGCTCCAGCCAGGCAAGGCCGGCTGCGACATGAGGCTCGAGCGCGGAGAGCAGGGCCGGCTCGTGCCGCTTGTCCCCGGCGATGTCCTCCAGGACCGTCAGCCAGACGCCGTCTGGTGGAGGGTGGGCAGCGGCAGTAGCTTGAGGCTGGGGTAGTTGTGCAAGGAGGTTAGGGAACATGGGTGAACTTACAGCACCACCCTCACCTCTGAGCCGGGAGCGAAGCATGATGGCGTCAAGAAGCACGTCCCTCCTGCTCTCCGGGGGCAGTTCTGCGCCAGGAGATTCCCTGGGGCCTTCCCGGTAGGCTTCCAGCCAGCGCAAATAGGCAGGCAGCGACTTGGGTCGGCTGAACCTCCGCCCCTGCTTGCCAGGAGAGGGAGCGAGAGTGTATCTGTTGTGCGTTCAGGTACTGGAAGACTCATGTACAGCTTCAGGTTTAGAAAATCAGCATTGTTTCTTCATGCGTCTGCCCAGGAGCGGACCAACATACACATTGTCTGAGAGTCCACCACAAGAGTCTCACCTGGAGATAGGATGCTGCCCCCATGCCAAACCCATAAAAGGAGCTACCAGACCAGTACATGGTGTTGTGCCGGCTGCGGGAGCCCGGCAGGGCGTAGTTGCTGATCTCGTAGTGCTCGTAGCCTGCGTTGCGGGTGGTGATGTGAGGGTGCAACTGAGCGAGGGTGTTGTGGCAATCAAGGTTATCTTGTCAACTGTTTACTAGCCTGACGTGTGCCCGCGTACTCCCTCCATCATGTTCTCGTCATCCCCTCTCGCACCAGGCCCAGGCACTCAGCCCCTCACCTGCCCCACGCAGGCATTCGCTGGCCTGGCCAAACATGGCGGCGGCAGCGTCGTCGCTGGGCAGCGGCTCCTGCCCCGGCCGGTACATAGCGGCAAAGGGCGTCCCCGCCTCCACCTGCAGGTCGTAGACGGAGACGTGGGTGGGCGCGGCCGCCACCGCGGCCTCCAGGCTGGCGGCCCAGGCACCGGGGTCTAAGCCTGGCAGCCCGGACATGAGGTCCAGGCTCCAGGCCGGCACGCCTGCGGCGTGTATGGCTTCGATCGCTGCGTGGACCTCGGCCACACTGTGTGACCGGCCGCAGCGGTGCAGCAGGTCGTCCTGAAAGGCCTGCACGCCCACGCTTAGGCGGTTGACGCCCAGCGCTTGGAGGGAGCGCAGGCGGCCCGCGTCAAAGGTGCCCGGGTCGGCCTCGAAGCTGACCTCGGCGCCGGGGGCGATGCCGTAGGCACGCTCCAGCGCGTGCAGCAGGCGCTCGACGAGCGGCGGCGGGGTCAATGAAGGGGTGCCGCCTCCAAAGTAGACGCTCTGGAGAGGATGAGGGTTCTGGGCGGGCGTGGCGGCGATCTCCCGTTCCAGGGATCCCACGTAGGCCTCGATGGCGGGGACGGGGGCGGCGACGTCGACCGCCCGCCCCAGCGCGATGACGGGGAAGTCGCAGTACAGGCACTTGCGCTTGCAGAATGGGAGGTGGATATAGGCGCCCACCGGGTCTGCCGACGGCGGGAGGCAGAAGCTGGGGGTGGGGGGGGGGGAAGGGCTGTGTGGAGCCCTCCAGCCCGGGCGCGGCTGGCGCGGGAGTGCTGGGAGGTTCCTGATGGGCCTTCCCCACCACACCTCGGCACCCAGCCCCCATGGGTCAGGCGCTGCACCGCGCTGCCGATCCGCACACTTCTAGGGCATGCATGCATGTCCTTCGAGGTAGTTTCAAGTACAGATCTTTTCACGAGCTTGCCCTCATGAAGCCTCGGGATAGATTTGGTGCTGTGGCATCAACATGCACACGGGTGTCGGGGTGTCGAAGTGGGGCCCTCGTGCTACCTCGCAATGTATGCAAGCATTGCGCCCCTGCGACCCTGAATACATAACCTGGAACGTTCAATCAATGCACATGATATGGATGGTAAATCAATGCAAGCCAATACTCTGACTTCACTTGCTCAAGGGTGTGCTGCGCTGCGCCTCATGCTGAGGTTTCGAAAATCAATCCTGCAGAAGAGACTCATACCATGCTGGAATGAACAGACATTCAATTCAAGGTAGTAACGGGGCAAGCACACCCCACATCACTCGGTCTTCTTCACGCGTGGCTTCATGTGGCGCTTGAAATCGGGCATGAGGTGCCCGAAAACAGCAATCAGGGTTGAGAACAGGTTGTAGTCCAGCACCTGCACCAATGGATGCGGGTCTCGTGGGTGTGCCTCTATAACACAATCTTCGAGCCCCAGGGAGGGTGGTCCACTGATGCATCCTCACTCACATTGCACGACGCGGCATCGGACCTTGCACACCTCACCACTTGTCACCATTTCGCTCAACCTCAACCCACCTTCATCAGCAGGCGGAAGCCAATGGCTGTGGGTCCGACATCCCTCCACACCAGTCTGCCGATGGAGGCAAATATGGTGTCTGGCAGGTCCTCTGGGTCCACTGCCATCTTCTTGAAGAACTCCATAGCGTCCAGCTTGTGCGCCTGCAGTGGTGGCATGGCGATCCATCGTGGATGGTAGATATGTATCAAGGCGCAAGTACATCTACTGTGCCTCAGCATCCTCAGCGACCACGTCTTCAAAAGGAATAACAGCCGTGAGTAATGTCAGGACACCAAGGGGGGTATCTTGCCTGGCTTCCCACACCACCTTGTCGTAGAAGCGGGAGGCCACCGGGGAAGGGTGGAAAACGAGCACGTCAATGCCGCTGGGCTTGACCTCCGCCGCCAAGGAGGCGCCGAAAGTTGATATGAAGGCCTTGGTGGAAGCGTACAGAACTGAGAAGGGGTTTGGGATGGCCGCCGCCGCGGAGGAGGTGTACACAAAGCACCCCTTCAGGTGCTTGTCCAGCTGCGTGTGGGGGTATCGGAAGGGAGAGCTATGTGTGGCGGCAAAATTTAGGGTGCTGGGCGCATTTTTGTAGTGCTTGGTCCTTACGTCCTTCTCTGGATGAATTGATATACTTTGAGCTGCACTGAATTTGTGCCATGGGCAGCAGCATGTCCATAACTCCCGCAGCTTGGTATGAGATTCCCTTGGTGCCCCCCAAGCTCCTCCACCCTCACCAGTTTCTGGAGGAGCACATGGGTTATCTGGACCGCATTCACGGCGTTGCACTCCAGGTTGGCGTTCTGTCGCTCCAGCGCGCTGTGGGATGAGTCACCATGAAACACATTGATGCAGAGCATCCCTGCCGCAAACGAAGTTCACCCATGGATCGAGGGCTGGGGTGAGAGGCCCCCTTTCAATCTCTTTGTACGTTCTTTTGCACAGGCAAAAGCTTCATTCTGTCCAGTGAACACGCAGCCGACCGGACCATCCACATGTGGGGCACCCCTTCCCCCCTTGAAACTTACACATCCGCGAAGAAGCCCGTGAGGACGTAACCAGCGTTAAGGAAGACCACCTGGACATCTATGCCTTCTATAGCTTTCTCGATAGCTGGCATGTAGCCTGGGCGTCCAAGGTCCACCGGCACCTTCTTGAGGGTGACATTGGGAAACCGGGCGGAGAGCTCCTCATGGCTGGCTTCCAGGAGCGGGTCTGGGTATGCCACCATGACGACATTCAGTCCCTGCGATGCCAGACGGCTGGCAATAGCCTTGCCTATACCTGATTGGTTGAGCGAGAGTGGTGTGTTTGGGAGGGTGTCATGGGTCGGTGCTCATCTCTTCGTTGGTGGCCCCCCCACTTGGTATGAGGGACGGCAGGCCAAGTTCCCACCGAGGGCAATGTGATCACACTCGTACCGCTACTAGCACCAGTCACCAATGCCCACCGAGCATTGTACTTCTTCTTCAGGTTTTGCGTCTTGTAAAACCAAGCAACAAAGGTGTGTGGGATCAGATAGCTGAGGAAAATAAAGGCTACAAGCCAGCCGGCAATAGAGGCTAGGACAGACATCCTGAGGAGTAACAAGGAATGCTACTCTGCGAACGGCTCATCGCGCATTGGCAGCGGCCTGCATGTCCCCCATTTTACTCGAGCTCGCATCGCCCTGGCCTGCTTGCGTGGCGTGACATGGCGGGTTCCCTGTTTGGACTTGCTGATCACTCCTTGTGCCATGCAATAAAGCAACGTTTCATGAAGTGTATTCTAACATCATTTCCCATTCAACCAGTCTCGACTTATAAATGCGGTGTGCGAGGCGATAGGTCCGATCATTACGCTTGGGCCGTAGGCCTCGACTGGACACGCTCCCTTGCAGCGCCCCAAAGATGGCAGAGTGGCAGGTACTACCGCGAACAACTGGCGAGCTCCCTTTTTAAATGTCCATTGTGCAATGTGAAACGCCAGGATCACTCTACAAACCTCACAGGATCCGGAACCTCGGGTGTTCTCTCTGCTGGTGGAGCAAGGCCTGTGCGAACCTTTGCCACTTGACACTCTGAGAAGGGAGCGCGACACTCTTCTTCGGCAGAGGCGAAGGAACGGTTTGGTCTCTTCGAATGGACCTCGAGAATCCAGGACCTCTGCAGAAGACGCCGATGCTGCGGTGCTGGCCTTGTGTGACGTCAGCGAAGCTGATGCCCGTCCAGTTTTCCAAAGGTGAGGGTGGACCAATGCATTATGAGTACTGTAAATACGCATGCATAGATCGGGAAAGATTGTGTCCCTGGCCTCACCGCAGCGCCTACACCTTTCAACTCCAGGTACACCAGCGCGGCAGCGCAGGCTTTTGTGGATGGCCTTACCCCGCTCCCTGCTGCGACACCCTTCCTTGCCGCCTCTGCGGCAGAGGAAGCCGCTGCGGAGGAGGCCGTCTTCGTCCCCAAGCACGTCGAGCGGCTGCAGACGCAGCTGGGAGCGCGCTGGCTGGCCGGCTGGTGCCAGCGGGTGGCATCGAGTGGCGGAGAATTCCCCGCAGACTCCGCCAGCCTCGTCCCCGACAACGACGCGGTGCCCACCGCCGCCGCCCGCCTGCTCTTGGAGCAGACCTCCGAGGATGTGCTGGCGGCCGAGCTGTATGACCTGCTGGGGGAGGGCGTGTTTGCACGCATAGGTGGGTGGGCTGTTGGGAGGGAGGTTTGGGGATCCAGGGACACCTGCACCTGGATCACTAAGTGGAGGCGAGACTGGCCCTGTGTTTTCTCAACTCACCCTGGCAACACCCGGTCTGGCTTCTGAGAATTTTACACTCCCAGCGCTGAGCTTGCGCTGAGGTGGTTTACCCACAGCACCCAACCCTACGACTTTCTTTCTCCTTATCCTACAACAGAGGAGCTGCTGCTGGCCCGCCCATCCATCGTCGCTAACATCCGAAATGCAATTACCGCGCTGCGGGAGACAGAGCAGGAAGACGACCCTGTTGGGTCAACAGCTGGCATAGCCTACATGTCCGATACTGTGACCATGATGTCAGAGTCTCAGGTGAGGTACTACCAAGGAAATCCTGGCAATTTTGTGCCTGTGTGTCGAGCCACATGGCCCTGGTAGTTGTTTTTGGATGGGATGGAGCATGAACCAATTGGTGGTAGGCGTCGTACAGCAGGCCAAGCCGTACCATATCTGCTGCTCCCTCGCCCCCCTCTCCCGCAAACCCTGCTCAGCTGCATGCCTTGCTCCAGTTCACCCGGCCACCTCTTCATTGCGCGACAGAGGCTGCTGGCCAAGTATGAGCGCAAGGCCGGCCGCCGGTCGGATCGCAGCGGCAGGGATTCGGCCGCCGGCGTGCGACGCGAGGACGAGACGGACGGTGCATGGCTGATGCGGGTGGGGCTGCACGCCCTGGTTCAGGACGAGGAGGCCAAGGACACCGCACATCTCTTCATAAAGTGGGCCTCATATCTGGGCGGGATGGGGGTATGGCATGGCTGGCATACCCTGGTTGATCGCTTGGTTGGGGCGAGGGACTCGCACTGATGTGTGAAGCAGGGAAATGGCTGTGGGAAAGGATTTACCATTTTAGATAATTAAGACTGATACCCCCACTTTTCACCTCCTGCTTTGTCGCTTATGATGCCAAGCTCACATAAGTGGTCAGAGCCTCCTCTCCGTCCCATCGATGGTCTCGGGTAGCCAGAACGCATCAATGATTGGCTCACATTTTTTTCTGAACCTCCACCCATCCCTCAACAGGCTAGGAGGTGTGGAGTTCCGGCTGGGCGACGGAGTGGAGGGCGTGGGGGGCCGGAAGGCCCTGCCAACTGGCACGACGCGCAAGTGAGTTTGGAGAGGGAGAGTTGGGCTGCCAGCATGAGTGCTGGTGCAACCAGTGAATGGGTGGCTTCTTGTGGGTTGGGAGCCAGGTGCCTGATTGGATGTGTACCCACTCACCACTCCACACACAGGAACTTCAAAAAGTATGAGGAGATTTTTGTGCCGGCCACCAAGCCCTCGGTGCCGCCTCCCGAAGAAGTTTCCATCAAGGTGAGGTGGTGGGACATTGGCGTGCGAGCTGGCGCCAGTAGGACATTGCTGCACAGGAAGCCATGTCAGTGCCATGCAGATCTTTTCAGATACATTGAAGTCAAAGACACCTCTTAGCCTGAATCCCCCCATTCTCCTGACCCTTCACCCAAAATGATCCTCCTCTGCAGATCAGCGACCTCCCTGCATGGGCCCAGCCGGCATTTGCAGGGTTCGAGACGCTGAACCGCATCCAGTCCCGCATCTACCCGACCGCATTCAACAGCAACGAGAACATCCTCGTGTGTGCCCCCACCGGTGAGGTTTGGTGTGGGGAGGGGCACAGTGTTTGTGGGGCTCTGGTGGCGGACAAATATTTGGGCAACCAGGGCAGAGCGCCTTTCTTGGCATGAGCCTCCATGTGTAGATGTGCTGATGCCAGGACTGGAACTGCTTCCTCCTCACAGGCGCGGGCAAGACCAACATTGCCATGATCTCTGTGTTGCGTGAGGTGGCCCAGAACATGGTGCAGGGCCGGATCCGCACCCAGGACTTTAAGATCATCTACGTCGCGCCCATGAAGGCCCTGGCGGCCGAGGTGACCTCCGCCTTTGCCCGGCGCCTCGCACCCCTGGGTAAGCCTGTTGGACCCCAGTGCTACTGCAAGGGGTTATTTGTGGTGGGTATCATCAAGGCTTGGGTTTGAGCATACTCAGACAGTGTAGTATATCGATGTGTTGTATCCTCCCCTGTCCGTGGCTGTTTCAGGCATCTCATCCTCTAGTCTCTCCACCAGACCCCTCTTTCCCTCACTGATTTCCTCCCTTCCCTCCCCCACTCATCCCTCCATAGGTCTGCGCGTGAAGGAGTTGACCGGGGACATGCAGCTGAGCAGGAAGGAGATGGCGGAGACCCAGATGATCGTGACCACGCCCGAGAAGTGGGACGTGATCACGAGGAAAGGCGGCGAGGTGAGCGTGGCCGCCACGGTGCGCCTGCTCATCATCGACGAGGTGCACCTGCTGAACGACGAGCGCGGCCCCGTGATCGAGACGCTGGTGGCACGGACCACTCGTCAGGTGGAGGCCACCCAGTCCATGATCCGCGTGGTGGGGCTGTCGGCCACCCTGCCCAACTACCAGGACGTCGCCGCCTTCCTGGGCGTCAACCTTCAGACCGGTGTGGTGGTGGTGGTGGTGGTGGTGGTGGTGGTGTGGGGGGCGCAGGCCGGGGGAAGGGCACGAGGATTGGTGGTGGAATCACCAGAGGGGGGGACTCGGCATGGTGGTGGGGTGTGTGGCCAGGTGGCAGGACCTGCCAGCCGCCTTTCTCATACCCCTCCTTTCCTGATCGCAGCCGCGCAACACACACACCCCTCCCTCCCCCCTGACCCCCCCCAAACCCCGGACCCCTCGCCAGGCCTGTTCTACTTTGATGCCTCGTACCGCCCCGTCCCGCTGGAGATGCAGTTCATCGGCATCTCGGAGAAGAACTTTGGTGCGCGCACGACCATCATGGACGACGTGACCTACCAGAAGGTGGCCGACTCGCTGAAGCGCGGCTTCCAGGCCATGGTCTTTGTGCATTCTCGCAAGGACACGGGGAAGACGGCGCGGTCCCTGGCCCTGCGGGCGCAGCAGGGGGGTGACCTGGACCTGTTTGACTGCAGCGGGGAGGAGACGCACGCCCTGTATGCCCGGGAAGTCCAGAAGTCGCGGAACCGCGAGCTTGCCGAAGTCTTCGAAGCAGGTGGGTTGGGTCGAGTGGATGGGAGGGTGACGAGGCGTGTGAGGTGTTTAATTTGTGATGAGAGACGCATTGGTTTGCGGCGGCTCAGCCAGATCATGTAATCGCGCCTCATCTCCCTCCTCTCAAAAGGCATCGGCATCCACCACGCCGGCATGCTGCGCTCCGACCGCACGCTGGTGGAGCGCATGTTTGGCGCCGGCATCATCAAGGTGCTCTGCTGCACAGCCACCCTGGCCTGGGGTGTCAACCTCCCCGCCCACACCGTCATCATCAAGGGCACCCAGCTGTATAACCCGGCCAAGGGCGGCTTCACCGACTTGGGTGAGCAAGGGTCGAGCGAGATTTCAGGAGGGGCGGGTGGGTGGGAGGAGGGGAAGCGGCAAGAGGCACATGGCAAAGAGCGGGCGGGCAGCCATCTGCAGCTTTCTGTGAGGTCTCGGCATGCTGTGCGAGGTCGTGCCCTCACCCAACCACCTGCACCGCCGCTTCCTGGCTGAACATGTCGCGCTCTGTCTGCGCACAGGCATGCTGGACGTCCAGCAGATCTTTGGGCGGGCGGGGAGGCCCCAGTTCCAGGACTCCGGGGAGGTGAGGCGTGCGGGGGTCCTGGAATGGGACGGGCAGCACCTTGGCGAAAGCGGTGACATGTTGAGCCAGGTCAGCATCCTGCCAGATGAGAAGGCAAGCGATGCGCTCTTAAAGCCATCCCGAGCCCTAACACTGCCGCAGGGCATCATCATCACCACACACGACAAGCTGGGGCACTACCTGGGCATGCTGACTCAGCAGACGCCCATCGAGTCGCAGTTTGTCATCGGGCTCGTGGATCACCTGAACGCCGAGCTCGTGCTGGGGACGGTGAGAGAAAGGGGAAGGATGCCAGTTGCAAGGGTCCAGAAATGAGGGATGAGCAGTCCCACTTTTGTGGGTTTTGAGCGTGGGCATGCCCTCAGCACAGCTTGATATGGCCCTGCTGCTCTGCGTCTATTCATGGCCTACGGGCTGGCGGAGACTTGCGGCTGCCGCACTGCGTCTCCCATCCCCTTTCCCTTTTCCTTCATTGCACCTCTACTCCATCCAACCCCCTGCCCCCTCCACGAGATTCTCCCTTGCCAGGTCACCAACGTACGCGAGGCCATCCGCTGGCTGTCCTACACCTACCTGTACACCCGCATGCGCAAGAACCCCCTGCCCTACGGCGTGTCGTGGGAGGAGCTGATGGCCGACCCGACCCTGGAGGCCGCGCGGCGGCGCCTGGTGGGGGAGGCCGCGCGGGAGCTGCAGCGCTGCCGCATGGCGCGCTACGATGAAGCCGGCGGGAACCTGCACGTCACCGACCTGGGGCGGGTGGCCTCACACTACTACATCGCCGCCTCCTCCATCGAGGTGTTCAACGAGCGCCTGCGCGCCCGCCTGGGCGAGGCCGACGTGCTGGCTATGATGGCACGCAGCAAAGGTGGGTTGGGTTGGCTGTGCTTGGTGGTTGGAGGGGTGGAGGGTGGTGGGAGGCGCGGGCAGCGTTGCCTGGCAATGGAATACCAGGGGAGGGAAGTTGAGGGGCATGGGAACAGGCACCCTGGCGAGGAGGGCAGGCGCAGTGCAGGGGTCCTCTCCTCTGCCTTCCATGTGTGGCATGGTCCTGCTGGAATATTGTACCAAACCAGCCACCCACTGCACACCCCGTACCTTGCCCTTCACACACCATCACTGCATCTTGAGTTTCACCTGATGACCTATACTCCCTGCCAGAGTTTGACAATCTGACGGTGCGTGAAGACGAGGGCGTGGAGCTGGACACCCTGGCCCGCTCCGCCTGTGTGTATGACATCCAGGGCGGCGCAGACACCAAGCCTGGCAAGGCAAACATCCTCCTCCAGGTGATCGTGCATGGTTGGTTTTATTAGGGTAGTAGTAGGGTGTCTGGGCCCAGTGGTCTGTCGATGCCATGATGTCGGTGCCAGGAAGGGAGAAGGGTGCTACCCATAACACTGCACCAAGCGGATGAACGTCAGTGCGGCTTGGGGCTTGTCTGGATGCCCTCTTCAACTCCCCTCGTCAACGATTCCACCGCCCACAGGCATACATCGCACGGGCGAGGATCGACAGCTTCAGCCTGACGGCCGACATGAACTACGTCTCGCAGAATGCGGGCCGCATCGCCCGTGCCCTGTTTGAGATCTGCCTGCGCCGAGGATGGTCTGGCGCGGCGGAGGTCTGCCTCACCATGTGCAAGGTAGGTGGGTAGAGGGCCGCACTTGTTGGCATGGGGAAGAGTGGGAGGGTCCAAAGATGGCAGCTGAGAGGCAGGGCCTGACTGTTTGTTCTCCTTGAGAGGATGCACATGCCTGTGGAGCAGCACGGCGGCCGCAATCACCAGCCGCGTGCCAGCCACCCAATCACCCTGGCTCGTGCAGTGCTTTGAGAGGAAGCTGTGGCCGGACGCCCACCCTCTGTGGCAGTACGAGTCCTCCCTGCGCTTCGAGCTCATACAGAAAGTGGAGGACAGGAACCTGAGCATGGAGCGCCTCGCGGTGGGTGCCGGGAGGACTGCGCGCTGGAACGTGGGGATGTTCTTGTCTGGGGCTTGTTCTGGCAACAGCCCGCAGCAACATGGAGCAGCGCTTTTCCGCAGCTTCATCTCCAACCTTTTCACACCAGAGGATAGAAACCTCTCCTCCACCTCCCACCACCCTCAAACCCCCGACCCTGCCGCAGGAGATGACGGCGCAGGAGATTGGTGACCTGCTGCACCACCCGGCGGCCGGGCCGCAGCTGGCAGACGCGGCCGCCTCCTTCCCGGCCCTGCTCCTGGAGGCCCACCCCCACCCCATCACGCGCACCGTGCTGCAGCTGGTGCTGCGCATCACCCCCGCCTTTGAGTGGAAGGAGCGCCTGCACGGCGGCTCTCTCAAGTGGCACATCTGGGTGGAAGACGCCAACAGCGAAAACATCTACCACTCTGGTGGGCGATGGAGGTTGGCCGGGGGGGGAAATGACGATGCCCCACATTGCCGCCTTGGTAAGGGCTGTGAGCAATGGCAGGGGCACAGCTTGCCACCCACCCCTGCTCGGTCCCCACCTCCACCACCTGCCCCACGAACCAGAGCAATGGATGCTGCAGCGGCACACAGCCAGGGCCGGGCCCCAGAAGCTGGAGTTTGTGGTGCCCATCTTCGAGCCGCTACCGGAGCAGGTAGGGCCTGAGGTTTGTCAGCCAGGATGATCCATTGGGGGAGACAAATTGTGGCAGCACCCCACTTGCACCCTGCCACTCATGACACCTCCCCAATCCCCCCCTCTCCCCCTCCCTCAATGCCCGCACAGTACTTTGTGCGCGTGGTGTCGGACGAGTGGCTGGGCGCGCAATTCCTCCTCCCCGTCCCGCTGCGCCACCTAACCCTGCCACAGCGCCAGGGCGGCCACACCGGTGAGGCAGTGGCATGCATTCTGTAGGAGCCGGGCACGCCTTGAGGCAATGGAACCGTGTACTCCAACCCTGGTATAGAATCTATCGAAGAATAGGTCATGAGTTCCCAGCCGTTCCTTCTACCCTTCTGGGCCCCGACAGACCTCCTGGATCTCACACCGCTGCCCACAACGGCTCTGGGAGACCCGGCCTCTGCCTCTCTCTTCCCCTTTACACACTTCAACCCCGTCCAGACCCAGGTGGGTGCGGTTTTACCTTTCACCAGAGGGTCATCACCCAAGCTTTCAGACCTGGAATACTGTCGCTCCTGTTCTTACTGGCTCCGCCAGCCCCTCAACCATCCGCATGCTACATTTCTCACAGATTTTCCACGCTGCATTCCATTCCAATGCCAACTTGCTCGTCGGGGCCCCCACTGGGTCTGGCAAAACTGTGATTGCTGAGCTAGCCATTTTACGCCTCTGGAAGCTCTCTCCCGCCAGCAAGGTGTGATGGGGGGAGAGACGAGGGCTAGGAGGATGCATGCTCTCCATCCCGTCCTCTTGCAGTGTTTCGCCCAGAGACAACATGTGCAAGCCCTGTCAACAACACTCCGTCGCGCCAGGTGCTCTTCATAGCTCCCAAGGAGGTGATTGTCCAGGAGCAGCAGAGGAGCTGGTCCTCAGGATTCTGCAAGACGCTGCGGCGCGCCCTTCTTCGCCTCAGGGAGGAGGTCGCAGATGACGAGGTGCGAGGGGGAACATGAAGGATGGGTAGTGTGGTGCCGAGAGCTGCATAGTGGAAGTGGAACGCTGTGGGCCTTGGATCACTCTGTGGAGCCGCAGGTGCAGTGCTGACCTGCCCCACCAAACTCCCGTCCGCGCGCGCAGGCTGCCATCAGCAAGGCATCTATCTTCCTCTGCACCCCAGAGGAATGGGCGGCACTCTCCAGTGCTGGGCATGGCAATGCTCTCATGCAGATGGTGAGAAAAAGGCCTTGCGGCCTCTCAAACACTGCAACACCCAGGGAGTTGCGGTAGCCAGGGGTCAACAGCGTGGATGCCATGTATCCAACGAGGTAATCTTCCTAACAGCCGCTCCTCGCATTTTGCCCTTCCTGCTCTCCCCCCAGGTCGGACTGGTCATCGTCGATGAGGTGCACCTGCTGGGAGCCGAGGAGGGGCACACCCTGGAGGTCGTCGTTTCCTCACTCCGCCGCACGGCCCCCACCTCACTGCGGTTCCTGGGTCTGGCCACTGCCCTGGCGAACGCTGGAGATCTGGCGGCCTGGCTGGGCGTAGCGCCAGAGGTAGAGGGATGTGGAATGGGCAAGGTGCTTGGGAGATGCGTGGGTCTAACAATGCAAAGTGCCAGACCAGGCCTGTGACCAACGCAATGGAGAGGGCTGCACAGCGTGGGACGCTGCAGCCAGTTGCCGAGGTGCTTCATACTGATGGGGCCCCTGCTCTGCATTACTTGTCCAGCTATAACGGACAACCCATACCCCCTCTTCTGCCACACCCAATCGCAGGGCCTGTTTGCATTCATGCCCTCTGCCAGGCCGGTCCCGCTGGAGTGCCACATGCAGGGGTACCCCAGCCGGTTCTACAGCCCGCGCATGGCATCCATGAACAGGCCGGCCTATGTGGCCATCCAGACGCATGCACAGAGCAGACCGGTGCGTGTGGTCTTTTGGCCTGCAGACACAAGGAGTGGGGCCTGGGCTGAAGGGCAGGGTGACCCGCCGTGGTAAGGGATACGGTGATGTTGCATCCAGGGAGCGCCGACCAACCGAGCACTCTCCCGGCAACCCAGGCCATTGTGTTTGTGTCTTCGAGGCGCCAGACTCGCGCCACGGCGATGGACATCATCAGCCACGCGGTGGCAGACGACAAGCCCCGCGCTTTCCTGCACATGACGGAGGCGGAGGTGGAGGACACGCTGTACTCAGTGCGGGTGGGTGGAGAGTTGTGGAGGGGTAGACAAAGGGCAAGGGCTTGTTGAGCAGCAGTTGCCCCTGCTCAATACTAGGAGGATAGTTTTACCACTACACACAGCAGGCCGTAGGTGTGCTCAATCAGGAGGAAGGGCCCTCAAGCTCAGATGGAGCTCCCATGCCATCACCGTGCAGGATCCTGTGCTGGCGCACTGCCTCCAGTTTGGCATAGGCCTGCTGCATGCCGGTCTTGCGCTGCCAGACCAGAGGCTGGTGGCAAGGCTGCACACAGAGGGCAAGATCCAGGCAAGCGGCTGAGATTGGCGGCGAGGCAACAATCGTTAAGATTGCCTAGCTTGTTGTAGTGGAGGTGTGCTAATCCAAGAAAATAATGCTTCCCGCTGTGGTGTCAGATTGTCTTACCCGGAATTTGAGCCATTCCAGGGGGAACAAGCTCCCTACCTCTGAATAACATCCCACAGGTCCTGATCACCACCCCTGGAATGGCGTGGGCGGCCCTGCCCCCAGCCCACCTGGTCATCATCAAGGGCACAGAGCTCAGCGATCCCGTGACGGGGTAAGGCGGGATGGAGTATCCTTCATTGCTGAGTGGATCAACATGCTTCCAGAGCCACCCGATTCCACCCAGCCTTTCCCAACCATATGCTGCTGCCCTTTGAAGTTGCCCACAACCTCCTGCTCAGGCGGTATGTCGACTACCCTCTCACGGACATCCTCCAGATGCTGGGCAGAGCCGGACAGCTTGGCACAGACACACAGGGGATAGCTGTCGTCATGGTAGGCAGGTCGAGAAGCTTTATTTGCTGGCCACTCGGATCTGCCTCGAGCCCGAGATTCCTGTGTGGCATGGAGCATTTGTGACTCATCAGAGCTTGATGTACTCCTAGGCGTTTAGGTGGTTGTGCACGCAACAGCTTGTGGTCTCACCTGCGTCAGCCTTCCAATGTTACTCTCTTCCTTTCTCTACCAGTCTCACAATCCACCTGCACAAAACCTTCCTCAGGTGTACGATCCCAAGAAGTCCTACTATAAAAAGTGCCTGTATGAGCCCTTGCCCGTGGAGTCCTGCCTCCAGCAGCATCTGGCTTCCTACCTCCTGGCCGAGGTGGCATCAGGTATGGGACTGGGAGAATGACGAGTGGTTTGCATTGAGGAAACGATATCGGAATTCAGCCTGGCCACAGAGCATGCCACGCCATGCTTGTTGCCCCTCTCAGCCCGTGTACAAGAACGCCATGCTTCAACCCACCGCGACAGGGGCAATACAGGGCTGCCAGGACGCAATCGATTGGCTGTCCTGGACCTTCCTCGCGCGGCGCCTGCTGCAAAACCCCTCCTACTACGACCTGCGGGGCACCGACCAGGCCCAGGTGGACCGCTTCCTTTCCTCCCTGGTCGAACGCGCGGCGCAGGAACTCAGGGAGGCGGGGCTGGTGGCGGCGCGGGGCCGCGGTGGCATCCAGCGCCTGCCGCCGGCGGGGCCCTGCGCCCGGCACGGCCTCCTGCCGCGTGGCATCCCACGGCTGCTCCAGGCCCTGCCCAGCGCGCGCAGCGTGGAGGACGTGCTCGCCATCGTGAGTGGCGCAGCGGAGTTCGACGCCCTGCCCGTGCGCTTCAACGAGGACAAGCTCAACCTGCAGCTTGCCAAGGCGGTGCGCTGGCCACCGAGGGGTGCACGCATGGGTGAGCTGGGGGGGTGGGAGAGCGAGTGATAGCATGCAGGGGTGAGGTGTGCAGGGAGGGAAGTCATGGGCGGTGATGTGCATGAGAGGCACAGGCAGCCCGATGGGCACCTCCCTGAATGGATGCGGCCCCAATGCAGCATCCTGCATGTGCTCGAATCCCACCCCCTACCTCGCCACCCTGCCCACGCAGACGATCCACACACCAAGGCCGGCCTGCTGCTGCAGGCCGGCCTCGAGGGGGTGGCCATGCCCATCAGCGACTACAATGCCGACAAGAGGGTGGTGTTGGACACCGCTGCTCGCCTCCTCCAGGTTGGCTGGTTGAGTGGTCAACCCATCCCTGGCTCAGGTCTTTACTCCACTCCATTGCCGCAGCCTGACGTATGCATGGCCTCGCAATATTGCGCAGGCCATGGGGGAGCTGCTGAGTCTGCAAGGGGGCCAAGTGCTGGACGCCACGCTTTCCTGCGCCCTCCTCGGCCAGTGCCTGGCTGAGGGGCGGTGGCATGACCAGGGCAAGGGGCCGTCTGCTTCGCCTGCAGATGTGCTGCGTGGTCGCACATCCGAGGCAGCCACTCGGCGCCAGGAGAACGGCCATGCGCCCCGCGGAGGCAGAGGGTCCGGCAAAGCCCCGGCAGCTCCCCTTGCCGTGGTCGTCGGGGCCGAGTGGGCGACGCGCGGGGCCGACGAAGGGAGTCCCACTGCGTGCCGCACCATCTCCATCAGCATCTCGACACGCCACCCCGAGGGAGAGGTTGCATTGAGCACCGGGCAGGTGGGCAGCTCCACAGGTCCCAAGGTGCGTCCCTGGTATCGTACACAGGCCATGTTATCATCGACAAAGACGACCACTGCGCCCGCTGACAGTCACAGCCCTGATTTCCGACCCTCGTCATCCAGGCACACTGGCTGGTGATCGTCGGCGACCTCGAGTCCAGGACCTTGCATGGCATGCAGAGCGTGGGAATGGGTGCTAGGCAATCCAGCACGACTGTGCAGTGAGTGGTGGCAGCCCTGGGGGCCTGGCGCTTGATTCTGGCCACCAGTGCTGGGCCAGCACTATGTTCGCTTCAAGGGAGTCTGGAATCACCCCGGGCAAGGCAGTGGCAGGCATGGCTGAAGTCCAGAATCCCCATACGCGACAATTACCCATGCAGGCTTGCCGTCCCAAGTCAGCACCAGCAGGTCGACGTGTTTGTGCTCAACAGAGACCGCCTGGGACAACAGCTGCATCTCCAGTGCTGAAGACTCACACAGCATCACACGAAGAAACGCTGCTGCTGAGCGCCAGACACAAATGTCGCAACGGCAGGGGACGCATGACCAACCGGAGATCAGGGTCGGAGCGCATGAAATTCTGTACCATGCCCGGACTATGCCTTCTTGGAGCCCTTGACGTCTATGTACTTGGCTGGGATGCCATGGTGTGCAGTGAACCAAACCGCCACCTTGGCACCAAGGTCCCCCTGCATTGTGATCTCCATGTCGTGCTCCTGCTTTCCTGGCAGTTCTCCCACACTGCCAGGGTCGGTGTGGGGCATGTGACCAGAAAGGCCAGAAGATCACCCAGCAACACCTCGACCAGAGTTTGCAGTACTTCCAGACCTCTCCCACAAGCGCACCACATGGTGCCGGCCCCCCATTCCTGTATACGCTGCGCACCCACACACCTGCATGAGGAGGAGAAGGCCTTCTGGAAGTCCTTGGCAAGGTCATCGGGCACAAATCCAAAGCTCTCCATGTGGCTGATGGTGGTGATGGGGTGCCCACGCTTCTTCCCCGCTGCAATTGTAATGGGGGGAAGGACACCCTTCCTCACGGTGCTCACCGGACCCTGTGGGGTGGGACAGAAGGTGACAGTTGGGGTACACTTGAGGTGGCAAGCACGGCTGCATGCTCCAAGCACTATTGTTGGGCCCCACAGCACGGCCCCACTTGCCACCCAGAATTCTTCTGTCTCAGTGGCGTGGGCCAGCAGTCGGCCGCCGATGGTGCAGACCCTTTCCCCTCATTTCCCTCACCTGGGGTGTTTGCCGGGTCAAGCGGTGGTGCAGCTGCAGCTTGTCCGTCAGCTTGGCCACCAGGGCCCGCTCCGGGATCGCGCTGCCCACGGACACCTCTTCCTTCTTTCCAAAGAGCGCTGAGCGCAGGAGGGCGTCCAGCGCGATGGTTCCCCCCGCGCCCCGGAGCCCTGTCAGGACGCAAGGGAGCCAAGGGGGGTGATGTGAGGCGCCGCAACCAGGCACGCCTGCCTGTTCCACAAGACCCCAACCAGCACCCCTGCCGAGCCCAGTCATACGCTGCTGCTGCGCGTAGCTGGAGAGCGCGGCGGCGACTTCCGCCGCGTCGTACAGCCGATCCTTGTCGGCGGCGGCCTCCGGGCCGAACAGCGGGCGCAGCGTGGCTGGCGCCCGGTAGCATGGGGTGATGACCAGGCCGGCCGAGGTGGAGGGCCCAGCGGGGGCCTGGGCGGGCGCCGAGGCGCTGGAGGGTGCCGTGGCGGGCGCGGCCGCCGGGGTGAAGCCGGCGAGCTGCGGGTGATTCCGGTCCACGGCGGAGATGGTGTCCTGCTTCCTCACCACCTTCTGCGTGATCACCTTGTCCTTGGAAAACTTGTCCAGCAGCTTGGACAGCTTCTTGTACTTGCTCTGCTTCAGGTCAAAGGTCACGCCTAGGAGAGTTTGGGGGGAAAGAGGGGGTAGTGAAGGGTTCAAGCTGGCTCAGGCCCCCCTTGGGGAAGCTCATGTCCCTGCCAATTCCTCGCCCACGTTGATGTCATCAAGTTCTCCACCTGCCGGGCTTCGAACCCGGCACAGGCCTACCCACGGACCTCTCCCGGTCCAGAGTTGCCACCATGCTAGGCTCCCTCCCATAGTCCCTCCCCTTCACTCCACCCCACAATCCACCTGGCGGCCGGTGTGCCAGCATGTGCTTGGAGTAGAAGTCGGAAAACTGGATGGGCAGCTCGATGGCCTTCAGGGTCTGCAGACCACCCAGAACGGCCTGCTCCAGCATCTCATCTAGGCTGACGGCACCGTTTGGGGGTGGTGCTGAGCTCTCCTCAGCCACGCTCAGGGACTCGATACTGGGGACGGCTTCCTCAGTCTGATCTGGGGAGTCAGGCTCCGCATCATCAGACGGGGAGTCGACGCTGGATTTTGCTCGAGGGGAGGCCTCGTCCTCTGGCCCAGCCTGAGCGGTATGAGAGAAAGCGCATCTAAGTTTGCCAGGTGGGTTCTCCTGATTGTGTTAGAATCTAGAAGTGAACACAGACAGCCTGTATGTGGTGACGGCATGAATCTTTGGAGCACACCAGTGTTGCTCCCACGATGCAGCTCAAAGCAGCTGGACTAAAATTGTAGACCTGATGTGCTGCAGCAGCTATTGAACTCCATCCTCAGCGAGTGCCAACACCCACTCCCCTTCCCTCCCCTTTCCAAACCCTGCAGCCTACCTGGTCAGGCAAGGGATGGATGCGGGAGGGCGTGAATCCCGCGTTGGGTGCCGCGCCGCTGCCCAGCTGCCAGAGCAGGTCCCCGAAGGAATGGAGAATGGTGAGCCCCCTCCCCTTCATCCCCGCCTGCTGCGCCTCTGTCCTGCTCACCGCCATTGTCCCCACCGCAAAGGGGATGGGGTTTCCCGGCACGCAAAGGGCTCTCACGCTGCCCGCCAGGAAAGCGGGGATGGGCTGGTCGGTGGGGAGGATGAGGCCCTGGAGGAAGAGGTCAGCCCCGCCCAGGACCTTGTCAGACACGGGGGAGTAGGTGTACAACTTCTCGAGCATGTCTGGGAACCTCGCCAGCGTGTAGACCTGCATTTGGGAATGGGTTTCAGTGAGGAGGGGGGGCGCGATAGCCACTGGTTTCATGGTGGGGCCTCAAGGGATGCTGGACGTTGCATCGCAGGGTACTAAATGTCTGTACTGCATGATTCATAGATTCATCAGATAGCCTGCATGCCCCCACACACCGTGGGGAAGAGGCGATCGCCATGGCCTGTGGGGTCGAAGAAGAGGGGGTCACCCCCCTCACTGCCGTACACGAGCGACCTGTTGTTGAGCTTGCTCAGGGTGATGAGTGCCTTGGAGGAGAACAGATCCGAAAGCTGGTCTTCGCTGAGAGAGGAGCATGATTTCTTTGCTGCAGCCTTCAGGCTCTTGTTGTCCTTGCCACCAAGCAGCGACGTCTGGCTCACGGTGATATTTTTCTTGAACATCGCGGCGCCCGAGGGTGTTGCTGTTTGCTCTAAGTCTAGCGTTACTCCAACTTGATCGTGTATACATGGCGCAACCATGCAAGTTGTTTCGCGATTGGCTGCCCCGTGATGTACTTGCGCGCCCGATGACGGATGACGTGGAGCAGAGCACTTCCTTGAAGTCTTGGAGGTGGCCTGATGATCAGAACCAGGCGGCCGTACTATTGGAGATTGATTCTAACGTTTGGTCGAAGAAAATCGCAGCTGCAGTTTTTGTCACAAAGCATTGAATCGCTGCACGCAACGAGTCTCGCCGTGGACGTGCCCCTTGACCGTGGTGCATGTGAGACCCTCTCGATGAGAAATGAGCTCCTTGGAGTCTCGGAGCAATTAGTTCTGGTATTAAGCACAGATTATACACCCATATAGTATCCAGACTGCACAGCATGGGGTTGCCCGTCGTGGGCGATGACCAAGATCTCGTCCGGAGCCGGACCCCCTGCGAGGCCATTATCGCGAGGCTTGAGAGCTCGATAGGTAGCTAGGCTGTATGTGCACGCCCTGTGGCACATGGATACTTGAAATACATTAGAATAAGTCTATTCACTCCCCATCGTCCACAGCTGACTTCAATGTCGAGAGGCAGACGCTGCTATCCCAGATCGCAGCGTGTGCCCGGGGCCTCCAACCCGTCCATGCCCTTCGCCGAAAGCTCCTGACCGTCACCGCCCAAGCCAATGATCTCCAACAGGTGATCTGGAGAAGGATTTTGCATCTATGAGAATGTGTTCAGGAAGTAACATGCATGTGTACAAGGTAAGTGTGGAGCAAGGGTGGGGTCAAGTGCCGATCTTAGGGTCCAAGCTCCAGAGCACCCCCACGCCACGGCAGGCTCTCACCAAGGCCAACCGGGACCTGGCCACCAAGAGGCAGCATGCGTTGATCCAGGCAAACGAGATGGACAAGTGCACATCGCCCACCCACCGCCTTGCCAAGGAGACAAGGGTGACTGTGCGAATGAATCACGCACTGCCCAGTGCTTGGACCATATCTGCAGAGGGGGAGAACAATCCCCAGCAGGCCACCGATCGTGAGGCGGCAGCCTCGTGCGGTCGCAGTGATACCGATAGCAGGTCTCAGGGCCATGAAATGCACATTGCGAATCAGCTCCAGGAGCTGAAGGCTCTGGTGCAGCAGATGGAGGGGACAGAGAAGGCGCTGTGCCAGGCCACCCGATCCTGTATCCAAGGTCAGTAGGTGGAGTGTTTGCCAGAGTACGACCTTGGAGATTCACATGTCGAGGGGTGCACCCTGGGATTGGCCACTGCGGGGGGTGCCTGGCCGCACACCGAGATGATTTGCGGGCCCATCGTGTCCTCGCCTCGCAGCCCAGCAAGCCCGGGATGCAGCCAGCCTCCAAGCCGCGGAGCTTTCCTCGCGACTCCAGCGTGAGGAAGAGAGACACCAGAAGGCGCAGAGGGAGTACGAGCACGAGATGGCTGCCCTCAGAGCGGCCCTCTTCAAGCAGAACACAGAGCATGAGCAGGTGCCTGCGGGGTGGCCTCCCTGGGACTGAGGGCTGGTCGTTCCCTCTGTGGATGGCGGGCGGGGAGGCTGGATTTTGGCCCGATGCTTCCTAACCCTTGATACAAAAGCCGTGACACACGGCCTGCATGCCCACGCTTGCAGGCCCTGCTGGACGCCGCCAGGTCGAATGCTGCTGACCTGGCGGCCCAGGCACGGCGCGGCGGGCAGGCCTCCAGATCCCTGGAGGCGGCGCTCGGGGAGGCGCGGCGCCGCAACGCGGCCCTGGAGGAGGAGTTGGCTGTGTTGAAGCAGCGGCGCGCTGCCGATGTCGAGGTGGAGTGCGGGTTTGGGGATTGGGGGGGGGAAATTGGGGCACGGGATTGCGCTGCCGTGCTGCACTGAGTGGGTAGGGTTGGATTTGCTGGCCAGGGACGAGGCAATGGCCCTGCCGTGCCGAGCTGCCCTTTCCCTGTGAACCATATATCCCCATCTTCCCCCCGACCGCCACCTGGCTCAGGGCTGGACCCATGACATCACGGCCCACCGCAAACGCCTGGCCGCGCTGGAGGGCGCGCTGCGGCAGGCCAGCGTGCTGGAGCGCATGGCGGATGACGAGCGGAGGGATGCCGTGCTCGCCAAGCACGACAGGCGGGCGGGCTTGGGATGGGGGGCCCTTGGGGGATGGGGTCGTTCGGGCTGCGGGGATTGGGAGAGGGCGCCTGGGTGGGCATGCAGGTCTTGGGTGCAATACTCTTGGTGTTTACATATCCCTCGCAGCACCCCCCCCTCCCTACCCTCTACCCTCAAGCAGGCTGGTGAGGCAGCAGCACGCGGCGGCTTCTGGGCGGCGCCGCCCGGCCAGGTCCACGCAGGAGGCCCACGCCATCCGTGCCGGCCTGCTCCAGATGGCGGAGGACCTGCAGGCCAGGCTGTCTCGCATGCGGAGTGGGGAGACATGAGTCATACATGATTAAGAGGACCTCTTCTGGACCTGCTGGGGCCATGTGCAAGTGGGAAAGGGCGCCATGTCTCACGCTGCCCCCCGCTGCTCTTCCTGCCTGGGTTACCGCTCGCTGCTCGATTGGCTGATGTAAGGGTGTTCCCGTGTAAGACGGCGCCCCCGACAGCCGGGCAGGCAGGCAAAGACAGCACAGAGGGGGATCAGCATGCCAGGCTACGCTTCAGCGGGAGCATTGGAGGAAAGGCCCCCTGCCTCGTCGGGGGCCCGTGGCCGGCGCTGGGCTGGCCGCGGTCGACCCTGGCCGCCCCTCGTCCCGCGCGCTCCAGCACCGTCTGGGTCCCGTGCTGGACCCCGCCTGCAGTCCGGCGCGCGCCCACCCGCCGCCTCCTCGCCGTCGCGGCGTGGCACGCCGGCGCGCAATCGCCGCGCCTGGGCCTGGGCGCCGTCCCGCGCCCGCCGCGCCCGCGCCTCGCCGACGCTGTTTGCGCCCGCCTCGTCTGCCGCCGGCTCGGCGCGATCTGAGCCTGCGCTGCGGCGGCCGACGCCACGGCCCCGTCCCCGCCCCCTGGCGGACCCGCGGCCTCTTTGGGCCGGCACGGACTCACCGAGAGGTGCACGGCCCTCGCCTCGCCCCGCTTCCACGCCTGCCGCGGCTGCGTCCCCCCCGACGAATCCTCTCGAGACTCCCCGGCCGCGGCCACGGGCCCCGCCCCGTCTGGGGTCGCGCCGCTGCGCATCGCGGACCGGCCTCTCGCCCACCACCTCCCACTCCTGGGTGGCGGGGGCCGGTTCACCGGCTGCCTCCTCGCCCGCAATGGCGGTCATGAGGTCCTCGGGCGACACCCGGAGGTGCAGCAGCTCGGAGTGCAGGGTGGGAGTGTGCACCGCCGCATCCTCGGCATCCGGCAGCGTCTCTGCCGAGCTGCTGCTGCTCTCCTGTACTCCGTCGCCGGCGTGCTCCTCGGCCTGTGCAAGGGCAAGGTGCCGCGAGCAACACAGGCTGCCTCAATCGATTGCCACGGCACACCAAGCGATGGCGCGTCTCAGGGCTGGACAGAGGAGCCGGCTGTTTCCCGGCCCCGGCCTCCGTACAGCCCCTCAACAGCCCCCATCCAACACCGAGCTGCCCTCCCCTCCCCCCCAACCCACCTTGGAGTGCACCTCGGCCAGGCGCCGCTCTATCGCCTCTCGCTCCCCCTGCTCAGCAGCCTCGGCCTCGGCCACCTCCCGCCGGCCTGCAGGAGGATCGTGGAGGAGGGCAGGGCTGAACACAGAGCTGCATGCAACGCACAGCCTCCCATCCCCCTGGCCCGCCTGCTGCCTGCGCATCCACAAAACCCGAGACACGCATCCCCACACAAGTCACCGGTCTGCTTCTCACCCACCACCTTTGCCCATGCCAGTTCAGTAGCTCCTCGGTTTGCCCTCCGGCTTTCTCCATCGAGGTCAGCATCCCCCTCCCCATGACCTCCCCCAGTCCACCTCCTGTCTCAAACGCCCCCTCCCCCACACCACTCACATGCCGCCGCCGCCGTCTCGGCCTGGCGGTGGCAGGGCCGGAGCAGGGGCTGCCAGACGGGGGCGCAGGCCGGCGCCCTCGCCGCCGCTTCGGCGCGGCCCAGCCGGGGCACGGCGCAGGCGCCCGCCCCCGGCGCGGGCAGGAAGTCGACGACGACCACCGTCACGTCGTCCTTCAGGCGGTCCTTCTTCACCGCCATGGCCAGCAGACGGTGCGCCGCCTCCTGGGCGCCCAGCCCGCGCACGGCGTGCGCGGCGGGCTTGGGCGCGCACGCGTCCCACAGTCCGTCGGAGGCCAGGATCAGGCGCGCGCCGCCGGGCGGCAGCACGGCCGCATGGACCTCCGGCGTGCCTAGGACGCGCGGGCCCGCCGCCGCGTCGCCCAGCGTGCGTGACATGGCCAGCCCCCCCGGCCAAACGCGGGTGGGGCCCGCCGGGCGCCCGTTGACCGTGGAGGGCGCGACCTCGCCCCCTGACGCCAGGATGCGCGCCGCCTCTGCCTCGCTGTCCTCCAGGCGGTGGTTGGCGCTGGCTGTGAGCACCTCGGACCCCGTGTCCAGCACCGCGAAACTGTCGCCCACGCTGCCCACCAGCAGGTGCCAGCCGACGATGACCGCCAGCGTCGCGGTGGTGCCGCCGGTCTTGAACCGCGCGCAGGCGTCGGCGTTGCAGGCCTCGAAGCCGTCGACGAGGGCCTGCGGTCAGGAGGGGGGGGGGGCGCGGGTTGAGGGGGGATTCGGTGGACAGAGAAATGGGTTTGCAGGGGGTGGAGATGGCGCTGAGGGGCGTCGGCGGATGGGGACATGGGCCCGGGGTTCCCACGCGCCACGATGAGTGGGCGGCGCAAGCAGAATCAGGCCCCTCCACAGTGTTCCAAGTCTGCAGTCAAGCCTGAGTCGGTCCGCTCAGCCAGCCGGCCACTCGTGAAATGACATGAACACCATGCAGCCGCACCTGGGGCAGGCGTCGGGCCAGCAGGGACTGCAGCGCGGCCACGGCCGCCAGCCCAGCGGGCAGCGAGTCCGCGTCTGGCAGGCTGGGCAAGCCACGCGGCCCGGGCCCCGACGCGGCATCCGCCGCCGCCATGACCGACTTGAGCAGGGAGTTGGACGCAAAGGTCGCCACGTTCCTCCCGCCATGCCCATCGAAGATGCCGTATGCGGCAAAGCTGGTCCGTTCTGGATACAGGGTTTGGAAGGTGCGAAGTCGTGAAGGAGAAGAGGGTGGGGCTCGGGGGCCCTGTGTCCAGAGGCAGAGTCCGAGGTGCCTGAAGGACCAGATCCTCTGATCCAGACTGCAACTCCCCTGCTGCCATCTCACATATGGCTGCTACAGAGCACGCCGCACCATGCACAACCAAAGCTGCCCTTGGGCCATACCTTGGCTGCCCTCCACTCCCCAGGAGTTGTTGGATTTCAGCAGCCACTGATCCTCGTTGCTGCTCGATCTATCCTTGGCCAGGCCAGCCTGTGCGGTTGGATGGGGAGAGTTTCATGCTGCGCACAATGGCCCATCGAGGGTGCTGGCGGGTGGACCAGCAGCGGGCCCCTTCCATGCCGCCATGCAGAGTCTTTGCAGAGGAGGGGTCCCCCCATTACTCCTTCACCCCCCAGACCACACGACTCACCGATATGTACGGCTCTATAATGGGCACATGAGGGATGGCAGCAGGGCACGGGAGCTCCGAGATACCGCACAATCGGGGCCCCTCCTCCTCGGCATCTTCAGAAGCTTCATCATGGTAGCAAGGTACGCCCGCAATGGGGCTGGGGGGAGGTGTGGCCTCAGGATCAGCCCTGCCCTGTGCCAGGTCCGGCTCAGCAGGGTGTGGGGAGGGAGGGGCAGGCACCTCGGCCTCGTCACCGCGCTCCGCCTTGCGAGCTGCCTCTCTCTTCCGCCTCCGCTTCAGGGCAGCCGCGGACATGACAGATGTCGCGGCTTCCGCTGCTCCCGGGCCTTGCCCTTGACCGGTCTCGCTTCTCGTCATCTGGCCAGGGAGGACGCGCAAGGCCGTCATACATACATTTGAGCAACGAGGATCTAACAGCACGAGCTCGTACGCATGCACCCGTACCGCTGAAAAATGTACCTAAGTCCTGTCACGGAGTTCCCCAACCAAGCCTGGCTGCTCTCTTGCTGTCTGCACACGGAGTTTGCCAGCACAAAGCTGGCGCAATGCTGATCTGCTGGTTTCGTGTATGTATACCAAGAGGACGCAGTGATCTAGCCAGCCAAACATGAGCATTGCAGCGACGACACGGCTGTGGATGCTCCGGTTGTCTCCTCAAAGATACAAGAAAGCAGGAAACACCTCCAGCGCCCAATTGTCATCCGTGCTGACACACCCGAGCAAACCTGTCTGGCACCTTGGTCATTGATATACGGTACCAGTCGAACTTTGCTTACCACTTGCCATATATTATCGTGAGTTATCGGTGCAGGAGACCTCTGCGACCATCCAAACCTGACCTCGCTCTTCATTAAGCGCGCCACCGGGCGCGACCCTCACCTCACCATGAGGCGCTTCGCCATACTGGCGGAGCAGGCCTCTAAATCAAGGTATGCATCACACTGGGCGGGCCGCAATGCTTCTGGACCTCCCTGCGACCCTCGTCGCGGAGCCGGGGCCGGGCGGCTACCCCTCACCTGCCACACCGTGGCGCGGGACCGGTACCGAGCCCTCACCCCCCGAACATCACTCCACAGGATTGCCAGCGGAGCCTGTGCGGAAACAAGTGGTCGTGCCCTCCTCGGCCGCGCGGGCCTGGCCGACGGTGCGCCCCGCTCCGTGACGGACCTGGAGCAGGTCCCCACCCTGGTGCGCAGCATCTGGGGCCGCGGCTGCGAGGGCGTGCTGGCGGGCCTGCGCCCGGGCCAGGCCGCGGCGCGCCAGCTGGTCCGGCGCTGGGAGGACGCGGAGCTGCGGCTGATCGCGGTGGCCAACTCCCTGGCCTCCAAGTCCGGCCAGAAGGTGCTGGCGGTGGGCATCCCGCTGGCCGCCGCGCAGCTCATGGGCCTGGGGCGCGAGGCCCGGGCCTACGCCGTGCCCCTGGAGGCGCAGGGCGAGGCCTCTTCACACCACCCGCGCAAGCCGGCCGGCGGCACGGGGGCCGACGCTCTGCACGCCGCGCGCCGCCTCGCGCTTTGCCTGCTGGCCGCGGTGGCGCGCGAGGCGCTGCTGGCCGCGCGCGCCGCCTTCCTGGGCCTGCTCTTCCTCCCCGCCCTGCTGTCCAGCCCGGCGCTGTGGTGCGGCGAGGCCGCGCGCGGCGCCTGGCTGCGCCTGGCCTGCGGCACGCTCGCCCGCTCCGGCCCCGCCTTCATCAAGTGGGCGCAGTGGGCGGCCACCCGCCCCGACATCTTCCCCGCCGACGCCTGCGCGGCGCTGGCGTCGCTGCAGGCCGGCGCCCCGGCCCACGCCTTTGCCCATACCCGCGCCACGGTGGAGGCCTCGCTGGGCGCGCCGCTGGAGCGCCTCTTCGTCCGGTTTGACCCCGAGCCCGTGGCTTCCGGCAGCATCGCGCAGGTGCACCGCGCCGTGCTGTCCACGGAAGGAGCGGCCGCCGCCGCCCCCCCACGCGACGGCAAGGCTCGCCCGGTTGGCGCGCGGCGCGGCAAACCTTCGCCCTTCGCCCCCGGCGCGGTGGTGGCGGTCAAGGTGCGCCACCCAGCGGTCTGCGATCTGATCGAGCGCGACATCACGCTCATGCGCCGCGCGGCGCGCCTCCTGGAGCTGCTGGGCACCGGCGGCCAGCTGCGCGAGAGCGTTATGCAGTTCGGCGCGCCCCTGCGCGAGCAGCTGGACCTGCGCCAGGAGGCCGCACACCTGCAGCGCTTCGCCGCCAACTTCTCGGGCTGGCGCGGCGTGCGCTTCCCGCTGCCCGCGGGGCCGGGGCTGGTCGCCCCCGACGTGCTGGTGGAGACGTTCGAGGGCGGGCAGCTGATCGCGCGCTTCCTGGAGACGGAGGGCGCGCGCTTCAACAAGCGCCTGGCCGGCCTGGGCCTGGCCTGCTACTTGAAGATGCTCCTGCGCGACAACTTCCTGCACGCCGACATGCACCCGGGCAACATCATGGTGGACCTGGAGCGACCGGGGCCCTCCTCCTGCCTCGGCGCACTCGCCGCCTGGACGGGGTGGGACCTGCGCCTGCCCCGCCTCGTGCTGCTGGACGTGGGCATGACCGCGCGGCTGACCCCCGCCGACCAGGGCCGGCTGGTCGCCTTCTTCGGCAACCTCACTCGCCTGGACGGCCGCGGCCTGGCCGACGCCATCGTGTCCTTCTCCGATGCGCCGCCGCCGCCGCGCGCCGCCGCCGCCTTCCGCGCAGACCTGGGCAGCCTGTTCGACGGGCTGGACGCCGAGGCCCTGCGCGCCGACACCGCGGGCGTGGTGGCGGGACTCATGGACGCCATCCGACGCCACGGCGTCCAGCTCCAGGGCGTGGTCTCCACCGTGGTCATCACCACCTGCGTGTTGGAGGGCTGGTCCACGCAGCTGGACCCGGGCATCCGCATGATGGAGAGCCTGCGCGACATCCTACCCAGCGCCTGGGGGGAGCGCGCGGGGCGGGCACTGGACTCCGCCTTCACCAAGTCCTCCCTGGCCATGGCCGTGGCCAGCTGAGGCGGCGTGGGGGGTTCTGGAGTCAGGAACCTGCCAGTGCATGCAGAGGCCGGCCTCGGCAGCCGCGGGAAGACTGGACCCCGCCGCGGCAGCCGCGGGAAGACTGGACCCCGCCGCGCCAGCAAAGGCCCCTCCTCAGCAGCAGCCACTTGTAGAAATTTGCGGCTTGCCCCCATCTCACCCCCCCTTGCAGCGAACGAACATCGAATGTGCATCAATTTTCCCATCTGCACAAGTCCCCTTTTCCGGCAGCGCCTGCAGCCGTGCGCCCACTTGCGCTCGGTGCAGGGCAAAATCCCTCCCTGGCACAGTCACTTGTATATAATTACAATCGTACTGAGGCCATTGGTGTGGGCAATGCAAAGTCAGTGGGTGTCAGGTTGTTCCAGAGTCAACGTGTGTCTGGTGTTTCGGAAGTTCAAGCCAATCACAGCGAGTCGAGAGCCGTGTGGTCCTTGGCAAGGGGCTCCGCGGCGGCCTCACCTCACGGGGCCGGAGCAGGTGGCGTGCAGCGCCACCCCGCATCAACACCGACCCCTCACTCCCGGTGGCGCTTGGCGCGCGCGGCCTCGGCATCGGCCAGGTACCGCTTGGCGAAGACCTTGAAGTAGAAGTTGGCCCCGTTCCAGGTGGCCACCAGGAGGATTGCCAGGAGAACCATGGTGTGGAGCCAGGGGTGGTCCCAGAGCAGCTTTGTGGGCAGCAAAGACACCCACGCCGCCGTCATGTGGATGCTGAGGTACAGCACCGGCTGCGGGGTTGGAGGGAGTGGGGGTCGGAGGTGTTTGGAGAGGGGAGGGGATGAGGAGACGGGGAGGATGCTTGGTGAAGGCACGGGTGTGGGGACACGGCACACAAGTGCAAGACTGAGAAGGGCGCCAGCAACATGTCACAGGACACGCTTTGCCCACCCACATCAGAAAGCCCCAGCCAGCCCCAGCACCCACCTGCAGCCGCGGCGGGGCTCTGAGCACAAAAGACGACAGCGGGGACTTCTTGCCCTTCAGGGCGGGCCCGCTCACCATCTCCTCGAACCTGCATGGAGGGGTGCATTGGGGACGGGATCAACCCAGGGACAGGAGTGTTGCCTAGCCGGGCAGAGAACACCTCAGGCAAAGCACCGAGGACTTGATGTTGCACAAGGGAGCCAAGCAGTCATCCCTCCAGCAGCAATGCATTCACACAGCAGCGATGTCCCTGTCCTCCCCACATACATGTTGCTGTAGCCCCGGGAGCGGATGCGCTTCTCCAGCAGGACGAATATCTGCCAGGGGGAGGGTCAAGCATGATGTCACGACGGGTTGAAAGCATTCCTACCAGGCCTCATACAGATGGGCTGGGGCGGTCGAGGCCCTTCTCACCCCCTTGGAAAAGCAAAAGCAATCGTGTGGTTACGCAGCGCCTGCTTGCACCCACCAGCACATAGTATGCCAAGGCCCACGCCAGGTAGAAGACCATGGGCAGCAGCGCCATCTGCGTCCAGCTGCTGCTCCCAAAATCAGCCAGCTGATCGGGGGACAGCCCTGCAGTCCACTCCGGTCGAGGGCGCCATCTCATCGTCCTGAAGGTAAGGGAGGGGGGCGGGGTGAGGGCAGCCAAGGGGAGGCTATGGTGAGAGGATTGACAAGGGGTGGGGCGGATGGCGCGAGCATTCTCTGGACAGGAGCAGTGCTCGAATGGGAGCCAGTGTGCCAGCTCTCAAGGCCCAAGCCGTTGCCTGGAATCGGTCGATGTAGACCCGCCCTGGTCCACGATCTTGCACCCCCGCTGGAAGACCACCCACTCACCAGGCCAAGATCGCCGGCGAGGCATGCATCATCAACGTGGTTTGCTGCAGGGAGGATGCGGAGCGAGGTCAGAGCCTTGCAGGAAGTCAAAGGGGCCTGGTGCTGCGTCGCCCCTTCCTGTGCCTGCTACCTGTCCCCTCGCCCTTCCATGCTGAAAACCAGGCAGGCAGCCTGCGCAGATGCAAAGCCACCAAGCACACGCCCACGCCTCTCTCGATTCCCCAAGCATGCCACACACTGCCCCTGCTGCCCTCCGTACCGCACCTTGTCGACATCGTGGAAGACCAGGGAGTTGCGCATCGCAACGATGGACCACATGAGGGGCCCCGCCATGTGTGCAAAGGCCAGCCGCCGGAGCAGGGGGGAGGAGGGCACCCAGAAGATCTGGAGGGCTGCCAGGATGTTGCCGGCGTAGCAGAACTCCAGCATCATGTAGTGCAGGCCGCGGGAGCGGTAGGAGAACCAGCGCATGGTGAATAGGGTCAAGCACTTGATGAGCCAGCAGTACTGGTACGTGCTGGGTGACGCCCCGAGCCAGAAGGCCACCAGCCTGAGCATGGATTCAGGAAAGGGAGATGTGTGGATCGGGGTTGTGGGTGTACAGGGGTGGACAGGGGGTCCAAGGATGCCCTGGCATGGGTAGGGGACTCCACAGGGGCCCTCTGGTCGAACACGGCAGGAGTGAGGGCGCTGGCAAGGGAAGGCAGTGCACTGTGCGCATGCAGGAGCAATGTTCATAGCGCCGTCCGCCCTGTCAGTCCCCGGTCCCAGGGCCGCCGATGCTATACTCACGCAATGTTGGCCACTCCCAGCGTGAAGGAGACCTTGTCCAGCATGTGGACGTCGCCCCGCAGCATGCGCTCCCCGATGCGATGCACCGCGCCAGAGCTGGCGGCGCGGGCGAGTGGCGCCGAGGCGGGACCGGCTGAGGGCGAGGCGGCCGTGATCTGCAGGAGATCAGGGCGGGAGGCTGTGTTTACGAGGAGAATGGGTCGCGATGGTGTGACTAGGTGAGAAAGGACCGGGATGGGGTGGCAGGGAGGGGCTCCTGGGCCCTTAAGCAATGACCACCGGGTGAAAACCCTAGGTGCACTCAGAGCAGCCATCGCGACCCCGTGCCACGCGGATTTCACAGCAGCTTCGGCTCCCTACCTCCTCTTTGCCGTCTCCAGGGGTTTCATCGGAAAACTCCTTGCCCTCTTCCAGCACCTTTGCGAGGACCTCCACCTCCTTGTCTCTGTCCAAGAACTCCGCGAGGCTGTCAAGCGCGAGGTCCGCCTCAGTCCACGTGCGACTGATGAGGTCCTGTGCCGCATCAAAATTCTCCTTGAACGTTGCAGTGGTGCTCAGGGTGCGGCGCGGTAGCGCGGTGTCCATGGTGTGAAGCAAAAGTTACGGAACGAAAGGTGGCCCTGACGGTGAGACTGCCCACCAAGACGCACCAAACCCAGTGCGCTCCTGGTCAAACCAAGGCAGGAATTTGGAAATGGGGATGGTCAGGGGGCAGCAAGCTGCACGATATGCGCGGTGCATGGGGTGGTCGCGAAGTCCTCAAAGTCACATCGAGGAGTTCTGCGCGCTAGCGTGGCGGGAGAAGAACCCCTCATCGCTGTCGGGGGCACGCACGACGAGACACCAAAGCCACACAGGGGCACCACAAGGTCCTTTGCAATCGGGCCTGAGGCAATTCTGCTAAATTTAAAGGATTAGGGCGCGCACCTGGGCGCACAGTGTGGCTCTTGAATCGCCGTAGGCGTGGGCACTGGCCACCAGGGTTTGAACTTTCCCTTCGACACAATTCGCCGGGGCCTGGGAACGGGACCATCGCCCGCACCGCTCTGCGGGTAGCATGGAGCTTTCGAGCGGCATGCGACTGGCGAGAGTACCTCGAAGCCTGCTGACGCCACTAACTCGGCCCCTAGCCAGGCCCTTCCGTCAGCACCCGGGGGATGGTCGCAGGGTCGCCCGCCGATTCCCCCCCCGCACCCCCGCCCCCCCTACCTGCGCCGCCCTGACCTCTGAGTCGCCCTGCTCCCAGGCCCCGACCTCCACGCACACCAAGCTCTACGACATGACCACCCTGGGCAACCTGTGTGTCGACGTGCTGGTGGAGGTGCCTCGCCTGCCCGATCCCACGGCGCACCCAGCGCTCCTGGACCGGCTGCGGGCGACGCCGCCCGGCCCTGACTCCCTGGAGGTGGGGGGCAGCGGCAACGCCAGCATCGCTGCGGCGCGCTTGGGTCTCCGCGTCTGCTGCACAGGCCCTCTAGGCAGGGACCTTTACGGCCAGTTCATGGCATCCGTGCTTGCCGTGAGTTGCCTTGTTGGGGGAGGGCGGGTGGGGGGAGAGGTACGGGAAGGGCATGGAGTAGACGGAGGGAAAACGCGGGAGCGTAGAAGCAACATCCACTGCCTCTCTGCGTGTATGGGTGAAGCGGTTCTAGATTCGGAGCTCATGTTCTGTACCACAGCTTGCGGCATGCAGACGATGATACTGTGTGGGGTCCCCTGCAATGCAGGACTCTAAACCACACCACCAAGGGCCCACATCTCACACTGCCCTCGACTGGGTGTCATGTCAGTGTCACTCCCATCACCTCATCCATGACCTAATAGACCTATACAAACACACACACACACACCCCAAAACAACCTCACACAGGCCGAGGGCATCCGGCTGGCCCGCCCCGCGGCCCCGCCCTCCCTAACCTGCCACGTGCTGGTGGACCCGGCGGGGCGCCACGCCTTCTGCTCCGCCTACGATCACGGCCCCTGGCCGCTGCTGGGCGACGCAGGCGCCGCCTTCGACGCCGAGGCCCTGCTGGCCAGCCGCGCGGTGCTCGTGTCCGGGGTCCTGCTGGACGAGGCCCCCCCGGCCCCCGTGCTGGCCGCGCTGGCCGCCGCGCGCGCCGCGGGGGCCGCGATCTTCTTTGACCCCGGCCCGCGGTCCTGGACCTTCCAGACGCCTGCGCGGGCGGCCGCACTGGCCGCGCTGCTGGCGCTGTCGGACGTGGTGCTGCTGACAGAGGACGAGGCGGCGGCGGTGACGGGCGTGCGTGGCGCGGAGGCGGCCGCCGTCGCAGTGCTGCGTCGCGATGGCTGCGCTGCGCGGTGGTGTGCGGTGAAGCGCGGCGCGGCGGGCGCGGTGCTGGCCCTGCGTGGCGCAGCGGACGGCGCGGGTGGGGCGGGCGGTGCGGGCGGCGCAGGCACTCCCATCCGCACCGTGTCGGCTCCGGCGCCGGCGGTGGAGGTGGCCGACACGGTGGGCTGCGGCGACGCCTTCGCAGCCGCGCTGGTGCTGGGCTACCTGGGCGGGTACAGCGTGCACAGCGTGCTGGCGCTGGCCAATGCGGTGGGCGCCGCCACGGCGTGCAGCCGGGGGGCGGGAAGGAGCGTGGCGCACCCAGGCGCGGTTAGGCGCCTGCTGGAGGCGCAGGCGGGGGCGGGGGGGGAGGGGCGGGGTCCCGCGCTCGGAGCCCTGGCCATGCTCTCCCCCTGCCACGGCGCCGAGGCGGGGAGGGACAGCCGCGCGCTGGCGGCGGAGGTCTGAGCTGGAGCAGGGGCTGGGTGGCCGGTGGAGAGTGGGAGGCAGGAGTGTCTGGCGCACCAGCCACAGATCCCTCGTCCTCCCCGCCTGCCGCCGCCATGTAGAGTGTCTTTTCCCGTGTGCCACCTGAACCATGGCACGAAATTCACTCCCATTCCCGCCGCTGCCCATCGCTATGACGAGCGTCTCTGGCCATTCCCCCTCGCTTTCTTCTCCATCCCTGCTCCTGGCACATGGCGGCAAGACGCGCGTTCATGCCGTGTGCGCTGTACCTCTGCTGGGGCTGGGCCGTTGACAGCTGCCAACCTCTCTCTTGCTACCATGCGTCCCTTCCTCAAGTGACTCTCCTCTCGACCCAAGTTTTCCAAGCACATGTACACCTCATACATGGTCACGGGCAAGGGGCGGCTGCCAGGGCTCACATGCAGTACTGGTGAAGGCATCGAGTCACATACCAGCTGCGGGTTCCTCCTTGCATGCAGGATGGCATGCGCGCAATGTGCCCTTAGATTGCAACACCCCCTTGCCTGTGTGCAAGCATGCCGCACAACCCACGTGCAGTGCAGCCCATCCAGTCCTCTCACAAACTCGAGGTGGAGTTGAGGTCCAGATAGGAGCCCAGGGCGGTGTTGCGGTTGCGCACCGCAAAGGCGACGTTGATGGCCTGGAAGAGGGAGGGGCGGTCGCAGCTGTGCAGCGTGACGCCCGTGGCTACATCGTAGTGCGGGCAGAACAGGAGCATGAGCTCCACCGCCAGCCTGCATGGCGGGAGCATGCGCGTGAGGAGGGGAGGTGGGCATAAGGCCGTGGGGGGGAAGGGGCTGCCTGAACAACCTGCCTGACAGGGGAATGCGGTCTACAAGTGGGGCTCAGGGCCAGGGCCATTTTCCCCATAAACACACAGACTTAGAACCCAGACCTACGCCCCTCCCACTCTGCCCCACTGAGTAGTCTTCCTTTTTTCCAAGGTCCCACCTGGTGCTGCCGATGATGATGATGACGGCGACATACTTCATTACGCGTTTGATGGACTTGGGGTAGGCCCTCTCCCACTCAAAGCAGTGGTACTTGGCCTCCACACACAGGCCAATGAAGTCGAACACAAAGCCCGTGATGAGCTAAGGGAGGGGTGGGGCAAGGGTGGAGATGACAGCCTGGTGCGAGACCTCTGGTGGGTTGTTTTCAACGGCTGGGAATGCTGTCTGTAATCTTGAAGCTACTCCATATGGAGTCAATGAGTGCAATCCAGACCTGAATCCTTGCTGCTGCGGTGTCCTTGGGTGGCCTCTCCCCACCACTGTCCTGGGCCCCGTTGCCACATTCTGTTCTACATGTTGCCAGGATGACCTGATCCAATCCAGTCCCTTCTCCCAGGCCAGCAATGCGCCAGGCACCCCCACGCACCTGCCCGCCGGCATTGATCCAGATGGCCGAGTGGTTGGGAGGCTGGCCAGGCGTCAGACCCACGCGTCCAAAGGACATGAGGGCCGACGCCGCAAGGATGCCGCCATTCTCTGCCAGCGAGGTCGTGAACAGCTCCACAAACCGCATCTCCTCCACCAGCTGTTGGTCGTGAGGGGTATGTGGGGAGGGGTAGAGGATGCAGGGAGCCGATGTGCCGCTAGCATGATCTGCCCCCATGCAATAATCAATCCATGCGGGACCCTAGCAGGAGCCAGCTTGGAAATGGTGGACCGGCCAGGCATCACAGAAAATCCCCAAAGCACCCGGGACATCTCACTCCTTCCTTCTCAACGCACATATCTGGCATTGATGGCCTCTGCGCCGCGCGCGCCATACAGGGTGCTCATCCAAAGGTCGTCGGCGCCCCGGTCCGACAGGCGAGCCGCCAGTTGCAGCGAGCACTGCATGAGGTTGATGAGGAAGACAGACCCCACCGAGTCCAACTGCATGTTGGGGTAGGGGAGGCTGGGCTCAGAATGCAGGACAAGGGCGGGCACTGAGAGTCCCAGGACAGGCATGTCGACAGATGACCCGGCAGCTGCAAGGACGGATGTTAGGTGATACCCTTACTGAACCCCATTCAAATATCTACCAGGCAGGCAGCCAGCTGTCACCTGGAGAAGCAGGAAGCGACCGAATATGGAGGAGTAGAGGGCCGGGTAGAGCACGAAGCAGACTTGCATGAGGTCGGGCACGGATCCTGGGCGGGAGGGGGAGTGGTGGGTGGTATGGAGGTTCGTTTGGGGCTCATCGGATGGCAGACACGCAGTGTCAGACCCTCGAAGGAAGCATAGCCCCATCAGACCCCCAAGACTCCGCCCTTTCCACCCTGCAAGTCGGGGCCAGGGTCTCACCGCTGTGCAGCATGAACTGACGGAAGAGCATCATGACCGCGCTCCAGATGACGGGGTGGATGAAGAGGCGCACGATGGTGAGACCCATGCCATTCAGCGCGGTAGAGGAGCGTGCGGTGATCAGACTGCGGAAGCGCGGGGCAGGGTAGGTGGAGGGAATATGGGTGGCAGGAATGCGGATGAGAGACAGGAGGGGCGATGGGGGAACTCACAATTATTTAGGTTGCGCGCGCCCTTTCACGGCAGTAGGGGTTTGGTGGGGCGGGGCTTAAGACACAGGCAGCGCAGAGACACCCCCCTGGAGCACGCACCCTCCTGCCCGCCGGGTGCCAGAGTATTTGCACGTCTGCAGCAGTCACTGTCACCACCCCAAGCACTCCCTCCCCCTCCGCCGCGCCTGGGCATGATTTGGAGGTACACCGTGGTCACGCCGGCGCAGAAAAACATGAGCGCAATCCAGCGGTAGCCCATGATCTTGCTGCCGGTGTGGAGCTGGACGACTTGTGCGATCACAAACACGGCGGTGCAGGAAGTCCACGCTGTAGTGGGCAAGAGGGCAAGAGGTTGGCACTCCTATCCTCTCTGAGCTTCCAAATCAGAGCCTTCTCTTTTGAGCCTGCATCAATTCGACATCCCCAACACACATGGAACCCCAGTCTCACTCGACAAGAAGGTCAGCCACAGGTTGCTGAAGCTCCAGTGCGTCAGAGGGACAGCCACAAGCACGACGATGGCGCACGCTGCGGCACAGACCGAGCAGGCTATCAGGTGCTTCCGCTGGAAACCCTTGGCTGTGGTGGTTCAAAGAAAAGTTGGTGATCGCTGGACATGTCCACTGACTCAGGCAGCGCCCAGCGCATATGAGTGTGCATGCCGGGAGCGGCGGCAGTACATTGGGTACTAGCGTGTATCGGATTCAATCCCAAACATTTTCCTCAAGAGCATGATCGTCTTGCTACAAACCATGCGCCAGACTTACGGCAGAGCACCTTCCCAATGATGGTGGGGAACACAGTGAGCCAGCTGTACTGGACGGCGTAGAAGATGAGCCAGAAGATGGCGGCGCCCCTGGATGTCACAACATTCCCTGTGTTCCATCCCTTCAACACGCAGCTCTTGAAGCCTACGATCATCGACTGTAGGGCAGATGTGGGCAGGAGCGTAACCTGTGACATCAAAGAGTTGAGTGCCAGCAATCGACTCTGACAGAGTCAGGGAGCAGAAACCCATCATATTGAGGCCTCACCATAGAGTCCTTGGCATCCGCGTTGCACAGCAGGCGTGGGATGAGGGCCGCCATGGCGGAGAAGCAGGCAAACATGAGGACGGTGACGGCGATCTCCGGGATCAAGTACTTCCCGTAAAATCTTAGGTGGGCCTTCAAGACCATGCGACCGCTGTCCTTGGTCGCCCTCTGGATGGCCTGGCAGGATCCGGACTTGGTTCGACCATTAGCCTTAATATTTGTCGAGAAGGACCGAAGGAGACGGGAGCTGGGGCTGCCGGGTTGCACTTTGATGGAGGGGTCCCGCCGGAGGGTGGTAGACCGGCCCAGCACCATCCCGACGCCAGTCTTACGACCAATCAGACGCGTACCACGGCACAGAGTCAGGAATCTGGAACATGGGTCCTCATCGGAATCTCATGCCGGGCATGGCGCTGTGGGCACCGGATCATCTGACGAAGCGGTGGGATACCACAGTTTCGCAGCACGCCCCGCAGCCGCTCCTCATCATGAGGGGAGGAACTGCCGCATCTCCCCGTGGACCCTGCGCAGGTGCTTCGTCATCCATCCTCACCAAATTTCCGACAGTGTGCCTTGTGGCTGAGTGCAAGCTTTCCGTCTTCCTGTTGACGCTGGCCAGGTCGGGTGTAGTAAGTGATCTCGGCGGGGAAGGACCCCTTTCACACAGAATCTCTCCTATCTGAAAGGGTGCCTACAATGCGGGATGGCCATTGAAGGATGACAAAACGCCGAGGACCTTGTCTGTGAGGAGGCTCCCCAGTCCGGGCTGGTTTCGCCAAGGGGGTCAGGCTCGTCGAAGCACCACCCTGTTTTGATGGCGAGCCAGGGGTGGCCGCCGTCCCCCTCCATCATGAGGGAGCTTGTGGGGATGGGATTCGATCCCACAGCGGCAGCCGAGGCGGTGCGGGAGACGGGCGGCGCGGGGGTCCAGCATGCCATCAACTGGATGCTGGACCGACCCAATGTCCCTGCTGCTGCCCCGCGGCCGGACCCGCACCCCACTGCGGGCCCCCTCGGCCGTTCTCCACTGGCCCTCTCCCAAAGGTTTGCCGCGGCATCACTCGGCGCTGCACCCCCCGGGCCGGCCTCGTCAGCAAACCCGGCCCGAGCCTCGGCAACTGCCCTGGGCGGTATCGGAGTGGCAGGGATCCTGCAGAGAGAGGAGCATCGAGCCGCCGCTGCCAACAGGTGGGACGGTGGGCAGGGCTGACAGCTGCCAGGGCTCTGCGACTTGGCATGCAGACGGGCCCCCACCCTGCCTGACAACCGTCGGCGCTGCTCGCGACACCACCATCCACCCTCCCTGATGCCGCTCGTGCACCACAGCACGATCGACCAGGCTTTCCAAGACCTGAGCCAGCTGATGAGCAAGGCCGAGGAGATGGTGAAGCTGGCCGAGTACTTCAAGGAGCGCCTGCACCAGCAGCCGGGGGCCGGAGCGCCGGAGGCAGAGCTGGACGCTGAGACGGCCCTGGACCTCTTTGATCTGGGCCTGGTCACCCCAGTGACCAAGGAGAGTGCCGGGCGGCAGTACCACCGGGAGCTTGCTCGACAGGTAGGAGTGACAGGGTATGACTTGATCAGGCGAGGTACAGCCATGCAACATGATGGAGTCTCAAGCTAGCGGCGAGGATCCTGTTTGCCGAGGTGACTGCCGAGTTTAGGATGCCAGGTCGGTTCCTGTGGCCAGACTCAACAATCGGCAGGTGTGCATCGCCACCAGGCTGCCCGCCCAACCCCTGACCCCCTCTCACGCCCCTTCATCACCCATGGCAGCTGGTGGAGGTGCTGCAGGGCCCGCTCCAGAAGGCCGGCGGCATGCTGCCGCTGCCGGAGGTGTACTGCCTGTATTGCCGCGTGCGGGGCTCGGAGCTCATCTCCCCCGACGACCTACTGCATGCGCTGGAGTGCCTGCCCCACGTGCAGGCGCCCATGCAGGTCTGGCAGCATGGCGCTGGGGGCTTTCGTGTGTTCCTGGGCATGGGAAGCCATCGCAGGGCTCCATCCAGGGCGTGGTCGCCGGGGGCATGATGGGCGATGGCCTGCGTGCCAGCCCCCACCGTTTGGGCCTCCCAGCCCATGCCCAGCCTCACTCCATTAGCCCTCGACCCCAACCCTCCTCCACAACTTACGCAGCTGAGGGACTTCACCTCTGGTCTGCGGGTGGTGCAGGCCGCCTCGTTTTCGGATGACAGGCTGTGCCAGCGGATTCTGGACATCCTCGGCGGCGAGGGGCCAGCCGGTCAGCCTCTGGGCCAGGGACTCAGCGTAGAGGATGCTGTCGCCATCCTGGGTACCCCCAGAGCCCTGGCGGCGGAGCAGCTGGAGCTCGCCGAGGGCAGGGGATTGCTGTGCAGGGACGATGCTGGGCACGGCAGCGTGGTGTTTTATCGCAACTTTTTTGCCGCCCTGTGACAACGTGGTCCGGGAGCCTGTGCTTGTAGGGCTGGAGTGCCACTCTACAGAGAGTGGGGATGGGATCCTGTGCATGCACAATGGCTGCTCATGGCTATCACGGAGGCACTCCCGGAAGATCCAGCTGTCGCGGAGCTGGTCGAATCTGGAGGGAAGGCGCGGGATCCAGGCCTCCGCATCGGCATCCTGTGTTCACATGTCCATGTCCGACTATGATCCCCGCAATACCCATATCAAACCAAGCACTCCAAAGATCTGCCTCCTCCCATGTCGTCTCTCGCCAGCTTGCGCAAGCTCAAAGTGTCCGAGCTACGGGATGAGCTCTTTAGGCGCAACCTGGACACCAAGGGCGTGAAGGAGGAGCTGATCCAGCGCCTCGCAGATGCGGATGGAGCTGGCGAGGGCGCGCCGAAGCCTGAGGGTGAGGAGCCTGTCACCGACTCCCCGGAGGATGTCACAGAGCCACAGCCCACAGTAGACCAGCCGGTGAGCGCACCCAGGCATGTGAGGCCGGTATGATCCGTTGAATGATGCCGATGGGAACGTCGAGTGCGGCTGGGGTCCTCACCATAACCGAGTGATCTCATAACCGAAGGCGGAGAACGGAAGCCAAGGCACCGCACCCCCAGAGGTGGAGGCGGCAGAAGCCCCTGCCTCCATGGTCAGTGCCCCGGCCGACCCCGAGGAGCCCGCCTCCAGTCAAGTGACAGAGGCAGAGAAGGCCAAGAGGAGAGCTGAGCGGTTCGGAATCGCTGTGGTGCCCCCAAGTGGGTCTGCCGGCCCGGCGCCAGAGGACAAGGAGAGGCTCAAGAAGCGCGCCGAGAGGTTCGGTCTGCCCCCTCCCATCGAAACGGAAGAGGTCTGTTGGGACCGCTGGTGGCGTAAGTGCTGTCCTGCTCGAGGTGACGAACTCCTGGCAACCCTTGGGAAGGATGTACCAGGAGTCGTGAAACCTATGCCAACCCTCCCATATGACTCTGTTTGAAACCAGCACCCTCGATCTGACTGCCCCCAGGAACTGGAGAAGAAGAAGAAACGCGCTGCACGCTTTGGCCTTCCTGCTCCCGTCATCAAGTCTGAGGAGGAGGAGAAGAGGTTGGCGCGTGCCCAGCGATTCCAGGCGGCGAGCGCTGGCGTGACTGGTGAGAGGTTGGGGGAGAATGTGGGACGATGAATACATGTTTCATTTGTGTTCTTGTAAGTGCCTTTGCCTTTGGATTTCTCTGCTTGATATTCTTTGTGGTCCTGTTTATCAGAAACACATGTTTCCTGGCAGGCACAACCGAGGAGGTAAAGGCAAAGCTGAAGGCCAGGGCGGAGCGCTTTGGTATGCCACTGGCAAAATGAGCCGGGGGGAGAATCCATGACCCCTCTGTGGTGGTACGGAATGCCACTGAGACTCTCAGCACTCCAAGGAATCCTGAAGGCAGTGGCGCCGCCGGCTGTGTGCAGTGCGTCCCAAGGATTAGGTTCATGTGCACCTTGCGCCAGGCGTCGCAGATGCCAAGCTACCTCGTCTGGAGAACCCACCTTCCACTGACTGATGGCTTGACAAGACTAATGAAAGAATAACTACATGTGAATTATTGGGCCAAGCTTTCCAAAAACAGGTCCATGAAAAGGATGAGCAATTTTGTGGATGGTTCACACGCAAGCCGCATCAGAGAAGCGTGTAGGCCTATTTGCTCATCTCACTCGCTTTGCTGCGGATTGTTGTTGCTGCTGAGAACCTGCCGCACGAGCAGGCGGGCGCTGGGGTCCAGTTCCTCGACCTTTGCGTCCAGCGAGTCCAGGCGCTGTGTCAGACTGCAGCAGGTCAGGTGGTTGGAAGCTCAGACACGACCTACATGGCACGTCCCTACCAACTGCCAGTCGAACCCATCTTACACATCCAGATATGCTGCCAGGCCTTCGGGGGTTGAGTTCGTCTCCCCAGGCAGCGGGGCTGGGTGCACCATATTTCTCATCTGAGCTTCCAAGCGGGCCAAGGCCCCCCTGATCTCCGCATCCTCCGACCCCTGCTCTGCCTCAAGCTGTTCAGGAGGAGATTTGGGGGCAAATCTGCTTGGCATATCTGTCATAGGGGTGTCCATTGCTGTCTGAGATCCATTCACACGTAAGGTCACCCACCTGCTCCAACATCCCGCGCAACACCGGGACGACAGAAGGGTCGGCTATAGGCTGCTCCACCATCCTGATCACACAGTAATACTTTCACGGCATAGTAATTCGCGATACATGCTGCATGATTTCGCCAGCCCTGCTCAGTGCCCACCACACTGATGTCCACATTCACGTAACTCGAAGGCGGGGGCTTGGGAGGACTCGTCACCAATCTGATTGGCAGGAGTGGGTGTGGACCCTTGCAGCGAGGCTCATATAAGGTTAACAATTTTGAATTGGCGATCGGAAGCATTTGTGAGAAGCTGCCTCAACAGCGCTGGAGATACGCCAACCTTTTTGGAGCAGGGGCATTGCTGCACAGTACAGGCTCGACACTTAACGACCTCCCCCCACCTCTGACAGTACTGATACCGGCATCACTACTGCAGCCTTCAGTCATCCGGGGCGAGAGGATCGGGATCACCATTCCTTCTCAAGAGCGACCCGGGAGATGTTCAGCAAACGCACCCGGCGAAGAGCGGGTGTCTGCTGGCAGCCGATGCGGCAGGCAAGCGGTCCCATCAACTCCTCAGAGGACATTATGAATGATCCCGACACCGACGAAACCTCAGAGAGGGTGGCCCGCATCGTTCGGCACGCCATGGCCAGGTGCGCACTGATCATCAGGGTGTTGGCCTCCTGGATTGAGCCGTCGTACCCAGGGGCACCCCCGGCTGTCCTTGCCTGGTTCGCCATGTACCTAATTGTCATGCACCCAGCCGGGGCTCTCAGGCCTGGCTGCCATGAACCAGCACTGCCAGAGCCCTCCCCGGCTTGCACAGCCCCTCACCGCGTCGCCACCCCGCCCCTCCCGCCCCAGGGCCCCCAAGGAGACGTCCGCCGCAATCCTATCGGAGCTCAACCAGCTGGACAGGGTGCACCTGGTGCTGGCCCTGCAGGCCGCCGTGGACCGCGAGGCGATTCAGCGGCGGGGCACCGCCTGGGTGGAGGACAACATCCGGCACATCGGCAGCGGGCACCCCTCCAGCGGCGGTGCGGCCCACACCCTGACCAGGCGCGCTGTGCAGAAGGATTTGGGATGGGAAGGGAGTTGGGAGGGGACGTGCTACGAGTCGCATGCCTTGAAGGGGTGAAAGGGGTCCCAGTGTGCGCACACGCGGTCATGGTCCTCGAACCTCACTTCCCTGCATCTTCCGGACACGCATCGCCCCACCAACAGGGCCCAGATCGCTAGCGCCCTGGAGTACCAGCGCGTGCTGTCCAAGTTCTCCATGTCTGGCGACAGCATGCCCGGCAGGCGCCAGCTGCTGGCCGTGGCGCTGGCCTCCGGCCTCCCCTTTGTCGGGTTTGGCATCATCGACAACTCCATCATGGTGGGATTCTAGGCGCATTTCAGAGTGGGGAAGGGGGGTCCCAAGGTGTGGGGCGCAGGGTGCTGGGTTTGGTCTCTCGATGGACGCGGCGCGCTCGGCTCTGGAATGCATGTGTGAGCGGCGGCTCAGAGAGACCCTGCATCGCCCCACCTCCGGAACGCCGCCTCAATTCACCAGATCATGGCGGGGGAGCAGATCGACACGCTGCTGGGCGTCAGGCTGGGCATCACCACCCTGGCCTCCGCAGCGCTGGGCAACCTGGTGGCGGACGTGGTGGGGGTTGGGGTGACGCACCAGATCCAGAGCAACGCCAAGCGCATCAAGTGGGCCGCCCCGCCCCGCCTGTCCACGCTGCAGCAGAACCTGCCACGCGTCCGATGTGAGGGTGTGGGGTTTATGATTGTTGCTGGGTTGGGGGGAAGCATACATAGAGGAGGGGAAGTGCATGTCCTTCGCCTGCTCCGGAGCGCCAGGCATGAGGGAACATTGCAAGGTTGTCTCTCGTGCTCACCATCCACCCCCTCCGGTAACCACCACATGCCAACCTCGCACAGATGCAAAGTTTGCTGGGGCGGTGCTGGGTGTGTCCCTGGGCTGCATCGTGGGCATGGCCCCGCTGGCCTTCATGGAGACCGGGTTTTTCGAGAAAGCGCCGCCAAAGGCCCCAGAGGGCAGCGCCGCCGCCGCCGACCTGATGTCCGCATGATCCTGGGGCCGGCCTGCTTCCTACCCTCGACCCCCCTCGCACCTGTCCTCCACCTGTTCCGCACCCCTCTTTTGGGACAGGCAATGCACCCTCCTCGGCGCTTCCAGGCCAGCAATTACATGTGTCACAGAGCGACAGCAGCCCAGCACAATACCATGGTACAGGGGGCGAGCATGCAGGAAATCAAAGAAAGCGGGGGGGCCTGGCCCGTGCAGCGGGATCCCGTGCAGCGCCGGCCAGGCCCGCGAAAAGTGCCGGAGCGTCGTTAACAGTGCGGAGGGAGCGGGCAGGGTCATGGGGACGGCTCGCGAAAGCGTTTGGAAAAGGGGGTGGACTGGTGCGGGAGAAGCATGCATGGGAAGGGCGGAGGCAACTTGGGAGGGGGTGGGGGATCTGGCCCGGGGACAGCGAGGCGAGCACCAGGGAGCGCCTGCGTAGCAGGTCCTGGGAGGCGCGCCCTTCTGCCGCTGGCTCGGGACCCTTGCGCCCGACCCTCAGGCCTGGCTGGTGGGCGACATCGCCAGCTGCGCGGGCGAGTCCGCGGAGGCCCCGTACAGCACGGCCTCCCCAGCCCCCGCCGCGGCGCCCCGGTACTGCGCCACGCCGTGGTACCCCGCCCCATCGCCCCTGCCCTGCCCGGCGCCGCTGGGCGTGGCCACGCCCTGGGAGCGGGGCGCCGGCCCCGGGCTGGGTCCCTCGCCGTCCAGGCTGGCGCGCGAGCGCTTGTGGGGCGAGGCCTGGTTGCTGAGCGGGGAGGGGGGCGGGGGGCCATCGGACCCCGGGACCAGGCTGCGCTGCAGGCCGGCGGTCAGCCCCGACCGCACCAGGCTGGACCAGTCGGCGCCGCCCGCGCCGTGCAGCGCCGCCACGGGTGCGGTGGGCGAGGGGCCTGCTTTTGGGTGTGAGGGGGGGAAGGGAGTCGGGCCGGTGAGGAGGGTTTGGCGCGGTGAGGGCCTGGGAGCACGCAGGGGAGGAGCCTGCTGCAGGCAAAACCAAAGGCACGAGACTTGCACCTTCCCACGAGCATAGGCAGGCCACAAGGGGGCCACCCCGAGCACCCACGTCGCCAGTCGCATCCTTCTTCCCACCCCCCCGCCTCTGGACTGCTTGATACCCCTCCTGGCATTGATACTCCCAGCAACTCTCCTCAAATCCAACCCCGCCCCCTCTCCTACACCCCATCCCAGCACCTTCTGACTCCCCCCCCCAAAAACACACACACACACACACACTTCCCTCCCCACTTCCCCCACCGCACCCTGCAGCTGGTGCTGGGGGCGAATGGCGTGGGTCCCCGCGCTAGGGGCCGGCCCCAGGCCATTAGCGCCCTGCGGGCTTAGGGCCAGGGAGGGCGGGAGCGCAGCCGGGGTCGCACCCTCCTGCCCCTTGTACCCCGCCTGCTGCGCGCCAAACAGGTGCAGCCCGCGCGCTATGTCGTCGGTCAGTGTGCGCCGCGCGGCGGCGCCCAGGTCCAGCTGCCCCGCGGCCGCCGCCTGCTGCGCGCCGGCGCCGTTGGGCGGCATGGCCTGGCCCAGCGCGCGCAGCAGGGCCAGCTGCTGCGCCTCCAGCGCGGCCTGCTGCGTCAGGTCCTCGAGGGCGCGGCGCTGGGCGGCCTCCAGCAGCTGCTTGCGCTGCTCCTCCACGGCGCGCAGCTGTTGCTCCTGTGCGGCGCGGGTGCTGTACGTCTCCGTGGGCAGGCCCACCTGCAGCAGCCTGTGGGGGGATGGGGGCGACAGGGAGGAGCAATCAGGTTGTGTGGCAGCAGGGAGGAGAAAACCCTGGACTGGTCGAGGAGGCGGCGGGCCCTCCCAGACAGCGAATCGTGGCATGGATGCCGACACATGTAGTTATTCCATCAGGCAGGGCGCGTGGCCTCCGAGTCCTCGCACCCCCAGCAGCACTCGCCTATGGCAGTTGCCGCATCGTACGATGAGGCAGGGCGGAGCCTGCACCCGCACGTCCTCGGGTATCGGGACCTGAGGATCGATACGTGTTTGGGTACACATTAGTTGAGCGGGCAGGGGCAGGGAGGGCGGGCATGCTCCCCTACGTCTTCGCATGTCGGCGTCATGTGTGCGACACCGGCCGAGAAAAACCCTGGAGCCCCCCATCCCTACCTCGAGCAGGGCGCCGCAGTCCTGTGCCTCGCATGCAACACGCACACAGAGTGGTGGTGGGAGGGAAGGGTATGATCCGGGTTGTATCGGGGATGTCTGCGTCTGGGTGGCCATCGCGACCACACAGGCGCACGCGGTGATTGGCTGGCACGCTCGTCCTCCCCTGTAGCCTGACCCAGTCCTTTGCAAGACCCTGGATGCTCGAGTGGGACGCACTTTGACTTTGAGCAAAGGTTATTGGCGTGTGGCGGTGGCATAGGACCGGCCATCGGATGGTGTGAACGACCAAAGTTTCCGCATGGGATTCGGGGTCTATTTGAGATCGCCCCTCCCCCCTTTCCGCTCGCCCCCCCGGCCGGTTCAATACAAAAAGTTACAAACAGCTGCTCATTTGGATGATGCGGAGCTCAGACATCACGAACCATGCCTCGTGCGGCCAAGAGGGCCCTCGCATCCCCTGCTAGAAAGAAGTGTGCGGCCACGGCCAGGAGGGTGGCCAGGAGGGCAAGGATATACGCAAGGTGCGCCCCCAGGGAGCCGCTGGGGACGCGAGTCAGCACGGCACTGGCATCTGCGGAGGTGGACAGCACCCATTTCTCGTCAGGGGAGAAGGCGATGGCCGTGGCAAAGGTCATGTGGGCACCTCGGCGATGCAGCACCCTCCTGAGCCCGCCTGCCGTCACCACCACCTGGTCCCCGTCGGGCGTCACAGCCCCCAGCAGGCGCCCGCTGGGGCTGGCCACGAAGCCGCAGATGGGGGACCTCGTGACAGGGCCTCTGCTTCGTGCCTGTGGAAGGGACAGAGAGGAAAGCAGTGGAGTCGGTCACTGCCTCCATCCCTCATCCGGCCCGACCCTCCCATCAGCAACAACCCTGGAGCATGTGCGACGCCGCAGACACAGGTTCCACACGCCCTGGCAAGCATGGATCTCCCTGCGTTGCCCGGCCAGCGCATCCGTATCGGCACGTCAGAGCCACTCCCAGCCCCACAAACAACCCTGACCCAGGGACACCCTCGCTGCGGCGCCTCCCCACCTCCAGACGGATCTCGCCGCTCGCCAGCTGGCGCCAGCGCAGGATGTGCCCCTCCCCCTTCCACTTCACCGCGGCGTAGATAGCGGGCCCAGCGCCCTCGGCCAGCGCGATGCACTTGAAGAAGGTCGCACGCGGCATGTCTGCGCGGGTTTGGGGGGGCAGAGTGTCCCAGACCGGCGTGAGCACCTTCCAGACGCGCATCGCCTCACTCCTGCCAACAGGCGCAGGGCTCCCACACGCAGCGTGCCCTGCCCCACACAGCACCCGCCTCCGCGATTTCTCCTCCTTCCCCCATTCCTCACCCTGCGGTACGGCCAGCTGGAGCACCTTATCCCCTGTCTCGGCATTCCAGAGCGCTGCCATCCCCGCCTCGTCCGTCGTGGTGAGGATGCCGTCGCTGTGGGCGCGCGACAGGTCGGCCGCCCGAATGGCCTTGTCCTCTGACGCCTGCCAGTGCAGCTTGGGCTCAAGGGAGGGCCAGTGCACGATGCGCACGCTGCCGTCCTCCCCCCCCATGACGAGCAGGCGGCCGTCGGAGGAGAAGGAGAGGCACTTCAGGGCGCCGATGCTGGGGGCCCTGGACGCAAAGCTGCCTGTGGGGTGTGTGGCGGCGCGGCAGTGGATGCGGGCCCTGTTTACCACCCCGGCCTGTGCCTTCCTCCAAGCGTCCCACGCCTTACCTCCTGGGCGGGAGAGCTCCGGCGCATCTCTACCGCTGGTGCTGGGCTGGAGGTCCACCCCCTGCACCCCTCCGCGGGTCATGCCCAGGACCAGAGATCGTCCGGATGGGTGCATCGCCATGCGGTAGGGAGCGTCGTCGCCGGTGTTGTATTTGGTGACCTCATCCGACAGCTTGCCCCTCTCGTCGCAGCTCACGACGACGACCCTGTGTGTGTGTGAGGGGGTGGTGCTTGGGGATGGTGCTGAGGGGCTATTCCAGATGGTCGTCTTTACTAATGACATGGAATTGCATGCACACCACCCATGCGCACTTGTTCTCTATTCCGAGGTTGCCCCCACCAGCCATGTACGCGTGCGGGCCGTCTGGCCAGGCCACGCCATACAGAGGCGCCCCATACTTTTGGAGTGGGGCACGCCGCTTCATCCTGAGAGTAGTGTGCAGATCGAGGGTGGGGTTGTTGCGCCCATGCATGGCCGACTTGCGGAGGTTGCGAGAGTGGACAGATCGTGCACAGCTTGAAGGCGTGGCGCAAGAAAGGAGGACGAGGATGGTGCTCAGGACTGTGGTCAGGCTGATGTATACTCTATAGATTATTATTCACGTCCCCATCGATCCATCAAACACCTTGAAAGTCCTGTGTCGCTCTCTCACAAAAAGGCCAAGCAAGGGCAGGCATGCCTGCCGCCCGCCACACGGCTCACACCTTGCGCGCCCGCGTGCGCTGCTTGGTGGCGCTCTCCACCACCTTCTCCTCCACCGGCAGGCCCTTGCGCCGGCGCGTGGCGTCGATCAGCTTGCGCGCCAGGTTCGCCGCCCCCACGCCCTGCCCCTCCTCGCCCCACTCCTCCCGTTCCAACAGGCTGGTGGGGACGAAGAAGGGGTCCACCCCCAGCCGCTCCCAGTGGCTGAGCAGGAGGGAGGCGGAGGCCGCCCCGCTGCTGCGCCGCCGCAGCTCATCCACGAACCCAAACGAGCTCTCGGCGGGCAGGTAGGCGTGCACTGCGGGGGGTGGAGATAGGTGGTGGTTTGGGGATAGGCATAGCTGGGTGTGAACTTGCAGGCCGGTCAGGCGCTGCATGTCCCAAGGGGTCTGAGCAGCCCGCCGGCGCCGCTCCCCCGCGCTCCTGCCTGCCAGCCCACCCACACCCAGACACCCCCCCGCCTCACCCATGAACAGGTCGGAGCCTTCCCGCAGCTCCTCCCGCAGCACCCTCGCCCGCCGTCTTCCCAGCACAGCGTACACCGCGCTCAGACCCTCCGAGGACGTCGCGATCTGCAGTGGGGAGGGGGGAAGGGGCGACAGATCTGTGCTGAGTGCCTGACCTGCAGCATGCGACATACCCTTGCCCATCACACGCTTCACGCCCCCCCTGCCCCCACCAGCCGACCCACCTCGCACAGGTACATGGCCTCCACGAGCCGGGGCGCGGAGGCGGCGAGGGCGCGCCGGGCCGCAGCGCGCACAGCGGCCGCCACCTGGCCGCTGAGAGGCCCGTAAACGTCCTCGCCCGTGCGCGGGGCGGGGGAGGCCTCGTCCCCGGACCCCACCACCCTGGCCTCCACCTCGAAGCCGACGCCCCACATGGGCTCGTCGCACAGAGGCCCTGCCTCGGTGGCCATGCCGAAGCCAGCCAGGACCCCGGCCTCGATGCTGGAGCGTGGGTTGCAGTGTGAGGGGTGAACGAAGGGGCAAGGGATTGGGTGTGGCAGGGTGGGGGCTTCGCAAACAAAGCCGGGAATGTGTGTTAAAAACAGGCGGGGAAGGAGCAGGGGTGCCAGGCAGGAGCACAGTTACCAACGGTACGAGCTCGCCACCAAGGCCAGCGGGCACAGGTCTAGGCTTCAGAAGCACCTTACTGCTGTGTTTAATGTGCACCTCGCCACCCCCCCCATGCCTCCAGTACATCCCCGCACATCCCGTGCTCACCCTATGGCATGCCCCCGACCCTCCCTCTCACTCACCTGTCCCTCAGCCGCGCCACGCCCTCGGCAGACAGGCCCAGAGCCGTTCCCTGCGCGTCAACCTCCGCGTTCCCGGCGTGTGCGCCCCCCTGACCCAGGCAGAGGACCTGCGCCACCTCCGGCCGGCCCAGCGCGATGCGCAGCGTGGCCCGTGCCTCCTCCACCGCCTCGTCAGCTCCTGCCCCCTCGGCCGGCGCGGCGCCGGCCGCCGCCGGGCCCACGCCGGCGGGGCTGGGCGGGCGTGCGCCGCGCCCCTGCCGCCCGCCCACCGCCAGGACGCCGGGCGGTGGCACGTCCCAGAGACCGGTTGTGGGCCCGCCTGCGCCCTGCCCCGGCGATGTGGGGGAGAGGAGCAGGGCATTGGGCCCCACGCGGCGCGGTCCCAGCGCCCACGCCCGCGCCAGCAGGAGTTCGGCGCCCTCGGCGGAGGCGGCCAGGCGGCGGCCCAGCTCGGCGGCCGCCTCGCGTTCGCGCTCGCCAGGCCCCGCACCGCGCCCCGCCTCGCCCAGCGCCGCCTGCAGCACGGCGGCGCCCGCCTCCAGGGCACCGGCCAGGGGCGAGGGCAGGGGGAAGGCGCGGAGGCGGAGGGCCACGGCGCCCGTGGGCGTGGCCGCCTCGACCACGGGGCCGTGGGCGTGCTGGGCGTGCTGGGCGCCTGGGGCGGGGGTGTGGGCGGCCTCCGCGTCCTCAGGCGCAGCCAGCGACTCCCTGGTGCAATGCCGGTGGGGGGGGGGGAGGAGGGGGGGAGGGAGGGGCGGTCAGGGGATGTTCAGGAGGAGGACGAAGGGAGTCGCAAGTCTCGGACCCCATCGACGCTGAGGAGCATCGATGGGTGAAAAACCCTAGGACCCACACCACGACAGGCCCAATCTTGCGCAGACAGACCAGGAGGACAGCCTGCACTGCTCTGCAACGACCCTGCTCTGTCAATCACGCCATCTTCACTCGGAGCAATGCCTCCCCCACCCCCACACCGCCCCTGCAGGGTCCGGCCGGAGGAGGTGGAGCCGTGGGCTGCCAGTCCAACGGGGTACCGCCTGCGCGCGGACCCGTCCACCCCCGTGTCGGCCCGCGCCCACAAGATGAGCAAGC